GCACATACTTAACTTCCATAGCCAACAAGTGCTTTACACGACCGAGGTTCTTCAACGCGAACTTTTCGCTCAGCTCACCGATTACATGCTCAATGTCCTCCTTTGATCCAGCGATCAACAAGTCATCAACATATACTGTAACGTACACAGCGCGGCCGCCCTGCCACCGGTGGTACAAACCCACGTCAAATGTGCACTGCTTGAAGCCAATTTGCTCCAAGTACTCGTGCAGTGTCTGGTACCATAAGCGCGAAGCTTGTTTCAAGCCGTAGAGTCCTTTCAGCAACTCACATACACGACCGCTTCCGTCATTGAAGTATGCGGGCTGCTCCATGTATATTTTCACTCCTTTCAGCACACCATTAAGGAAAGCCGTAACGAAGTCAACATGGTAGCATTCATAACCCAATAGAAATGCCAGGATCAATAACATCCGCACAGTCTCAATTCGAACGACAGGAGAGTACGTATCCAAGTAATCAACACCGTACTTCTGTCCGCAGCCTTTCACTGCTAAACGAGACTTGAGTCTGTCCACAAGCCCCTTTTCGTTGAGCTTGGCTCTCAACACCCACGTGGTTTTCAAAATGTTGTGCGAGCCTTTGGGGTCTATCGACCAGTCTCCAGGTACCATTCACTTTGTGTGCTTCCATCTCGAGTTCCATCGCTTTGATCCAACTTTTCACGTTGTGGAGACGCTAGAGCTTCTTCAACAGAAGCAGGATTTCCCTGCGAAAGTCTCTAGTGCTTCCAGGAAGCCATCACATAGTCTTTCAACCGCACATTTTCTTTTCGGATACGCTCTGATCGTCGCCATCCACGCTTGCGCTTCGAGCTGCGCCGCGGTTGAGATCCATTTAGGAAGTCCGGATTGCGTTCCGACCAAGGTCGAAGTTGATCCGCCGTTGGCATTTTGTCATCTACATCATCGTTCTCTTGTGACTCTCTGTCATTCGATGCACTTGCTGCTCCCACCGAACCTGCAGCCTCTGCTGCTAAGTCATGCTGCTCGGTGTTCGCTTGCTCAACCGGCTGATCATCTATCCGTGCAGTTTCATTAACAGCCTCTCTTACTGCTTCATGAGCTCCGGCCCGAACGGCTTCGTTAGCAACGTACTCCACTGGGAGTGGAACAAATGGTATCTGCGGGAAATAGTGCTGTCGGCCCTTCAACAGCGCGTTAATGTATGTGCGCTCGACCGTCACGTCCTCGCGGAACTTGACGTCGCGGGCTTCAATCACTTTCCCACTTCGCAGATGAAGCAGTCGGTAGCCATGACCCATCCTTGCAAAACCAAGAAACAGTCCCGGTTCAGCCTTTGCTGAAAGCTTGTTCTTCCTGGTCTCCTTCGGAACAAATACGTATCCCACACAGCCGCACACCTTTAGTTGCGCAACGTCAGGTTTTAATCCTGACAGCTTTTCAGTCGGGGTTAACCCTTGCAAAGCTTTTGTCGGACTCAGGTTGTCCACCTCCACCACATAGCGCAAAACCTCCGGCCACAATATCATCGGCAAATTGGCCGCGTGCATGACAGCACGCATCTTGTTCACGAGAACACCATTTAGTTTTTCAACTAAGCAATTTTCTTCCGGTGTGTACGGATGAGTGGGGACGAAGGTGATTCCCTTGCTCTCTAGGAACCCCGTCAGCACACTGTTTACGTATTCCCCCCCTCCGTCACTCGTGAACGTTATTATCCTTTTGCCTTGAGCCAGTAGCTCAGTCATCAGCCGTTGCGTGTTGCCAGAAGCTTCACTCTTGTGTACGAGCGGGTAGCACCACTTGTATCGCGAGCCCTCATCATGAATGAGCTGGAAGTACCGCATTGCACCAATTCCTGGTCCGTACTTCCCCATATCACATACATCTGAGGTCAACCGCTCAAAGTTTTGAACAGTTCTTTTCTCGGTGACATCCCCATACGACATGCGTTTTCGCTTTGTCGACATGCAGCTAAGACACTTTAACTTGGTCTTCAGCTGCTCGGCAGGAATGTCCAAGCCTCTCACCACGTCGTTCTTCACCATGAACTTCAAAGCTGCCTCGTTCAGGTGAGCCAGACGTTCGTGCCACTTCATTAACGGACTGTCATCCGCATTTACAGTCGCCATAATCACAGCACTGTTATCGCCAAAGCTACCATTGTTTAACCAGTAGTGAGTCCCATGATAAATGAACTCCACACAGACTCCATTTCGAGTCAAAAATTGCTTCTTCGGTAGCACTCCAGGCGCACTGGTTGACAGCTCCCAGCCTTTGTTTACCATCAGTCCAAGACTGAGCAAATTCACAGGTCCAGTGGGTGAAAACACCACTTTATCCAGTTCCAGCGTGGTTTCACCACCACTCAGCACGTTCAATGCGTTCAGCAGCACCTTACCGCACTTTTTACTACGCGTGATGCCGCCGTCCCATACTTTGAACGAAGCCTTGGATTTCTTCATGCTTGTGAATTGTTCTTTTTGGTTGCACACATGCGAAGACGTTCCCGAGTCCAGCAGCCAATCGCCACTAAGCTCATGTCTTCCTTCTTGAATTGCCATACCCACAAATGGAAGTTCGCCTTCAGAACTGCTACTACTACTGCTGCTGTCGTCCTCACGACCAGCATCCGCAGTGAACCGCATGAAGCCCATAGAACCCACTGGCTTACTGGCCAAACCCGAGGAATTACCTCCACCGCTGTTGCTCGGCTTCTTCGTCTCGGTGGCCTTGCCTTTGCCAGCTTGGGCCTTGCTTTGCTTGTTTTTGTAGTGCCAACAGTCTTTCCGCATGTGTCCAACTTTCTTACAATGGTAGCAGCGAATGGCACGTCGTTTGCCTGCACCGGTGGTCTGCATCTGCCCTCGAGGACCAGGGCCGGGGCCTGGACCTTCATTCGGCCAATAATGCTGCCCGTTAGGCTTCCCCATATGCATTGCCACCTGCGGGCCGCCATTGCTTGCACCACAGTTCACGGCCGTGTCAGCCGCCATCTTCTCCATCTCATCGCGCGACAGCAGTGCGTTTTTCACTTGCTGCAACGATGGTGGGTTTCCTTGTCGGTATGAGAAGTCGAACTGGGTCACTATCTCGCGATGCACTGCACACACTCCCATCAGCATCAACTGAGACATCGACGTATCGTCTATCACGAAGCTGGGCCCCATGTGCTGCAAACGCTGCCGCAACATGTTCATCTCTTGGATGTATTCCGCCATCTTTTGGCCCGGGGCGTACGAGTGAGTGTACAGCTCACGCTTCAAATGCACTGCATACGAGAAGTCTCGCTGGGTTTTCTCCGCAGTCAATGTGTCCCACATCTCCTTCGCCGTGCTGCAAATGCACACTTTTTGGGCATCAGCACCTTTTACGCCTCGGATTATAGTCTCCATGGCCAGTCGATTTCGATCATCAAATTGACGCTGCAACACCGGATCAAATGCATGACGCATTTCTTCACCGGTCACCACACTCCATGAGTCTCGCTGCTCAAGATAGAGCTTTAAACTCATCTGGTATACCTCGAAGGTATCGCTAAACTTCGGTGGCTTGCTGCTGCCAAATGGTTTTGACCTTTGAACTACAGGAACCGCCGGTTGCTGCACACCAAGTAGTCCTGGCGACGCTCCAGCCTGTCCCACTACTCCAGCCATTGGTACCCCAACGCGACTTGCATCAGCCAGCGTAACAGTAGGTTGCTTCACCGATACTACCGCTGTTTGCTGTTGGGTCGTCGGAGTCGCACTAGTTATCGTACTCTTCGTACTTGCATTATCGCTCGTCGTAGAAGCCTTATATTCACTCATTACGTTGTCCACGAACCAGCCTTTGGGCTCATAACCTAGCAGATAACCTGGTAGTTCACGCAGTAGACTGCAGCGTAATGGTCTCGCGGACAAGTAGTAAGTCAGAGAAACTTGACTTGTTTGTCAGGAAAGCAAAAGCAAGAATGCATTCATCGTTAAACCTTTCTACTCCGCGCAGTCTCTCATACGCAACGTGCCATGCACGCGGAGGAAAACCCGTTGGACATGCATCGCACCATCAACAGCTAAAAACCCCCGTTGAACTCACGCGTCCCTGCTTACTGGCACGTGGTTCTTCTTGTCTCCTATATGCCTGGTCTCAGCTTGAATGACCGTGCTGCATTGCAGATGAGCAGCTTCCTGTTAAAGCATACCCCTCAACCCTGTCTAGCTCGAGATATGGGTGACAAAGGTCTCTACAAGCGACGGCCTTATTGCCATTCTCTACAAATCGTAGCTGTGGCTATCAATTCTATGAGTGATGCTATTTAGCTTGTACGAAATTATTTAATCTGATCCATCTGTCCGTGTTATGAGTCTTACAGATTCTTTGTCTTTTATCTAAAAGTGAGACCAGATTTGCAGGTAGGCTCCTTCTTAAATTTCAGAGCTTCTTCGTGCACCGGACGACTTTGTTTAAGATTGTTTTATGTGAACACGTGAATGATACAGCACTTTTACATGTATGACAAAGGGATACAATATCGCTGGATTATCCACTGGATGGTACACTCCTGGGTAAAATTGAGAGAACGACCCGGAAATTTAAAAAAGAAAGAAAACAGGGCGAAGCGTCTTTGAGCAAAGTAGCTATGCACACGATTCTCTTACGCCTCGCTTTCCACGTCGAAAATACATATAAGGTTCAATGTTTACTGCAAAAATAATCCAACGACAACCGGACGCTAAATAAAGCCACGGACGGAGAAAAGTGACTGGGTGTGTGACTTCATTTCTGCTTTAGTTTACACGTGTCTGCGCTCCATGACGGACTGGGCGACTGAATACAGGAGTCAAGAAGCTGCTCGAAAGGCTCAAACATGGAAAAAGCTTCTTCGTCCGTCGCCAGCCTAGCGGTCGCAGGACGCATTGTCTTTGGACCGATCGCGCTGTTGCTACTGTTCACGGTGACAGACTATTTCTCTGGCAGCTCCGTTCTCACCAAGGCCGACAAAAGTTTCTTCGCATTTACCGAAAATGACATGACTATGGCTGGAGGATGCACGGGGTGTATGGGTCCATGCAAAATTGTGCTACTCAAGTATTCGCGCTTCAACAGAAGCGCATTCGTGAGTTCTCCGGTGCTCAACGCCTTCGTTGCTCTCGGACCGACAGAAAATCTCTACGACTTCAGTTCATTAAGCCCCGAGGCTCTCACACTGGGACAATCTCTGGATGATAACGGTGGGATCTGTCAAAGTGGTACCAACGATTGGGGAGCCACTCACAACGTCGTCACCGGATCAGCTCAGCAAATACTGGACGTAATCAACACACTCGGTTTCAGTGTAGCACCACAAATGGTGCGAGAACTCGAGCTCTCCGTCGGGCGTACAGATGGGTGTGATACAAGGTGGAGCATGCTCTCGCTCACACGCCTTTTCCAGATCCCAACGCGAGCGGGAGACTCAAATTTCGGCAAACTCTCGGCGTTAGACATCAGTATCTTTCCGGATTATACGGAATGCCGTCCTGTGGTCACCGTAGACGACAGTCTAGTCGGCTCCAAGCTCTCGTTGAGAACGAATGGAGAGGATCTTTTGGGTGTAGTTCCCGATAGCTTCACGCTGTTCCCGTACAGTTTCACCAGCAGCTTACCTCACGTCTCTCGTGTCGTGCCTGCCGGTAGTACAAAGTACCCAGCGATTAGCGTTGTACAGCCTCTACTTCGAGCCTACTTTGGTGGCTGTAGAGTGCGTGAGGTAAACACAACCGGTATTTTCATTGAAGATACATGCGAGGTGTCGAATCATTGGGAATCGTACGGGTTAATGGTTCATTCTCCGGACGATATCCCGCTCTGTAGTACCGGTGACGTGTGTATTCACAACCACTTTAACTCACTTTTCGGAAGATCGTCCGGATCGCAACGGTATGAATGTGAATTCCTTCCGTAGTCGCTACGCTGATACCGTCGCTATCAATTTATTACCAGGCCTGGTGGTGGGTCAGATCTTGCTCATGGGCGTCGTCAGTCTCTACCAAGTGATGTCACACAAACGTTCCGTATTACTCACTCAAATCTGGGCCTATCGCTGTCAGAATGGAAGGATGCAAATTGTATACCTGGCTCAAATCATCTACCACCTCGTATTTTACTCGGATCTGTACATGCTCGGATTGGCGACGGGTACTTTGACTGGAGAGTCCCATAGCGAATCTGACGTGCTGTTTTTTCGCCTTTTCCTACTCGTTTATCAACCTCCTGAAAGCCCGTTCGGGTGACCAGCAGCTAGATCGATATTTTCGACTAACATGGGAAGCCATGCAGCTGGTTACTACGATGACTATCGGCTTCATTCTACTATCAGCTCAAATGACGCCACTCGAGTCAATTATCACGAAAAACTCTGAAATTTTGCGAAAGACGTCCACGCGAGGAGCAAAGTACTGTGGGCTGAATGATTCGTGTATCCTCTTTAAAGTTGGTATGCTTTCCGTCATCGCTGTGCTTTCAGTGGTGCTCGGTAATTTCTCTTTAATCATATCACATATCTTCAAAAAAAAATGACTCCAAAAGTGAAAATTGTTGTCTACTCGGCTCATAGTTCAAAGTACAATGAATTTAAGGAAATCGAATTTAAACACGGCGAACCATCAGCGCCACTAGACAATCTTACATCCTTCGAAAGGAACTGCATTGGGGGGCCATTCAAGAAACTGTTCCGAGACTGCGACGACATCGCCTACATCTCGTACAATGGCAAACACTGTATTACTGTCGAAGCGTTACTTCTCACGGGGTATCTCTACTACGGTGAACATGTCTACCAGGCATCTTCCGTTATGCTGCTACTAGTGGCACGTTTGGTGCCACGTAAAATGCTCCGCACCTTCAACATGCTATTCCTACGTTGGTACATGGATTCAAAACACGGCACGTTGTCCGAGCCGCGTTCGTGCACATGGTACCATGCAAGTACGGAGAATTACCAGTTGAGTGGAGCTGTGCCCCTGGCATAGTATAAAAAAACATCCGAGCTTGTGCTGCATGATGCATCTTAAGTCAGGATAAGCATGAAGAAAAGCCAAAAAAAATATGTTCTCTTGGCTGCCTTAGTGGTGATACAGTAACAGCGAGAGCAATCAGTGATCCGTCAGAGAAGTCAGTTCTAACGGGTGTTTTTGCTTTTCTCAGCGTTTTTAGATTTTCTGACAATATTGTTTAATATCCTTTAAAAATTATAAATAAAAAAGTAAGCATTTAGCCGGTATTGCTTCGATACAAAATACCGGTTCCTTTTACCGCTGTATACCGATAGAAAAGGTCTACCTTGTTGAACAAGTAAACGTCAACGAAGCAAGTCGCAAGTTTGCACTCCCTCAACAATGCCGTCCTCGCTAACCACGAACGCCGCCGCTGTGGAAGACGCTCTCTTACGTGGAGAGTGGACACAGGCGCTCAACGACAGCCGCAGTATCCTCGCAGCGCGCATCGTCCAGGTAAAAACAAGCTAATAATTCCACCAAAGTCGCTATTCTCACAGTTTTTTTTACAGCTTCGACAGGAAGAAAACCCGTCGGCCGTGTGCACGGAAGAGTAAGTGGACTAATTACTATATTTAAGGTACTTAAATATATAATTTATATATCATAGGGAGCGCTTGTTGTCAGTATACCTTCAGACCGTGTTCGAACTGGACCTGGACGACGAAGTGGACACAGCGTCGACCATCGTCCAGGCCTTTGCGCCGCTACCAAGCGGCATTGCGCTTCAATGGACCAATTTTCTATTGGCCATGAACCGCCGACCAATGGCCACACAAGCTCTGCGAGAGGTGCTGGCGTCCTACACTAAGGACGGAGCCTTTAACTTCAGCTCTGAACAATACTCCAAGGCCGCAGAAGTGCTGGCTCTGCAGTTGTTGCTGCCTGACGAAGGCGTTGAGACTGCGCGGCGTTTTGTGACGGCAGATGGTGTGCTGGATGACTCAGCCAAGCTGCAATTATTGCGAAAGATACAAGCGGAACATTTGGCTGCTCAGGAAGCCACGAAGGATGCGCACACGTCGGTATCGAACCAGACAGCGACAAACCGGTCGAGTACTGTGACGACTGAGCAAGAGGTCAGTAGTCAGACGGTATCGACTGGGCTTACGGGTGCACAGCCACGCCATGACATGAAGCAGGACGACGACTCGAGTAGCTACCTGATGATTGGTAGCACTGCTATTGCTCTGGCGATTGCAGCTGCAGGCGCTCTGCGATACCGCGAGAGAATTCATGAGGCTGTATCCAACGCGATTCCCGCGATCTCCAAGGGGCTCGCGGATGCAAAGTACACGCTGTTTGAAGCGTAACATTGCCATAATGAGAGTACTATTTTTCAGATATCAATTCTAATTACTACTACTACTGTAGTACTACTAGTAGTAGTTTCTAAAAGAATACTAGTACGAACACCAGGGTTAAAGAAATTAATTTATCGATTGTGTTGCCAGGTATAGTAAGAAAACAAGAGCTCCAAAACTTAAAGCTGCGGTACGCTCCAGCAACCCACGACTTCCCGGTAAGCAGCTCCCAGTGTGTCTAACTCCAGCAGCCTGTCCCCAAAGCCTAATAACAATCTCCCCAGCGTGCATGCAAAATCCCCAGAGCCGCCAGAAGCGAAAACACCCCTGTACTCTCTCCACCAAGCGATGAGTTACCGGTAAAATGTAGCGTCAATACTGTAGCCAGCTCCGATCGCTACAAGCAAACTCTCAATGTCTAAATGAGGTGAAATCCAAGTACACAGTGGAGTTGAGTGTCCCCACCACGGAGCCGCGAGTCTTTTCCAGGCATACGCACTCGCTTGCGCAGCCCAGAAGATGGTAAGCATCAGTATAATAATACTTCTAGATTGTTCAAGATCACCCGCATCGAGTAAAGCGATTATCGATAAACCGAGGCCATGCACGAGCGAAAAACCGGTAACAGCGAGTGCAACTTGAAGCGCCAACATCCGCTCGAATCTGGCTAGTACACAGACCAGCAGTATCACAGTAACCCCGACAATAAACGTAGTAAGCAGGTGGTTATTGTTAGTCTGGTCACTGCAAGTGAAGACGCCAATTGGACATTGTAGAACCAGCAACGCCATGACACTGAAGACCTCGGATTGCCAATAGATAAGCGCCATCCAACTCCAACTCGGGGTGAACCAGCCACAGCTTTACCGTCGATACCGACGAATACCATTGACGTCGGTAGAGCCTGTCCTCTTCATCACGAATAATCGAATGAGCCGCCGTAAGCACTCGCGTGCTTAGCAATTCCATAGAATTGTTCGGCATGGAACATATTGCGGCCAAGTGTGTCCAAGACCGTAAAAGTCGAGGCCTAGCTTCAAGAATGCTGGAAAAGCAAAGTATCCGGATCCTCCAACAGGTTTCGGAGACTGAAAGATGAAGCAGAGCCACTTGGTCTCATGCAACTGTACGCTCAATGTGTGGTGCATGAGTATGGCGTTGACAGAGTGAGCATTGCGTGAAGCCATCTGTACCCGCAGAAATCCATTCCTCTAGTCGATGGCGAGGCGTGTGTATACAACTGCTGTCTGCAGTGACACATGCCAGCAAAGGTATCTTATCCGATTCTGTATTATTAATACTACAGTATTAGGTGCTCCTGCTGTCAACTCGAACTGAAAATCAAAGTCGGGGTTGGTGGCCGGGGTCGCCGTCGGATTATTAATACGAGGAAATTATAGCCAAAATCTGTACCTACCACGGCTCCTTCACTAAAGAGTGCGCTAACGATAGATTCGGCTCACGACTCATGAATTATCAGACCGCTTGAGCACCCCTTCCTGTAAAATACGCGTCGTCACGACGGAGATAGCCTCACATTAAATAGACCAAAATTAAGCTACGGGCTATTATGTCGGCAGCGACACAATATCCTCAGCGCTGCTATAATAGCTCAGTCTCAAACAGCAAACATCCCGACAACTACCGCGAGGCCACTCACGCGACCCGCTCCCTACTCGTACAAAACACTCGAGCAAAGTGTCTTGCATCAATAAGCACGTTAATAAGTGCACAAATGAGATTTGATTTCATCCGGATAATCTTCTGAGCAATCTGCGCTGCACTGTGATTGGCTGAAAGAGCCGTCTCTATTCTACGAAAGCACACTGCAACGCGGCACTTGTACATGTGTTTCCTACGCGCCATTGCGTTGGCCTATTATTCTCCCTTCCTCGTCGCTCTTCCCCGCTCTTCCGGCCCTTTCCAGTTTTCGTTTCGCCACCACCGCAAGGCTCGCACACTCAAAAATTCGACTTACAACCGAGCTCTCGAGCTGGAAATCGAATCAATTCCGTCGCTATAAAAATCGGACACTTGTAGTTTATCTATTTGCCGGTGTACCGACGTGAGAAATGACCACTCGGTCAGCCAATCGGACTGTGCTGCTCGATATTGAGGAGGACAATGGACAGGCAACCACTGCGACGAGATCGAACCGAACCAGGTCACATACGTCCAGTACGAGATCCCGTGCTGCTACTACCAGTTCTAGATCTCACTCCCGACGCAGACCAGGCGAGAAAAAGCGAGTTCAATCCGTTGCAACCGCAGATTTCCGCGGTACGAACCCCGTCATGGATGGAGATTCTGAGGAAGAAGAGCAGGAGCCAGTGGAGCGAATCCCCACCCTTGACGAGCGAGGACACATTAACTTCACCAATTCGAGGTACAAGAAGTCGGTGGATTCTGCTAAGCGCAGCGTCCGAGCTAGAGGCGCGTTACCTGCAGGCTCAGCGCGATCCAGAGACCCGTTTAACCCGATTTCACCCACACGAACCAGTCGGACGCAGACACTTGACATCCAGGAAGACATTGAGGAGCAGGACGAATACGAAGACCAGCCGAACGACTGCAGAAGGCAATTTCAACGACAGCAAGCTGCGCCCGTCGATACCCGCGGACGCTCACGGTCTCGAAAGCAGAGTGTCCTCGGTAGTTGGACATTCTGTGGCCAGTCGTATCCGAACTGGTTCATACGTTTGGGCACTACAGTCGCCCTCGTGCCGGTTGTCGTGTGTGGTTTGATCTTCTGGCCTGTTCTAGCAGCAGCGTCGTTAACGACGATATTGCTATGCTTTTGTTGTTACGAACATGCGTGGCTATCATTTCGTATTTACAAGCAACTGCTCGGTACTTATCAGTGGTATGAAGGTAACGAGGGACCTTTGGATCTTGGAGATGTGGCTGATGATAGTACTCGTAGCAACGCATCGGTGGTCTGTGGATACCAAGATGGAGGTGACCGACGCTTTAAGAACTCTTTTGTCTCGACAGCATTTACGCAGTCGACTACATCGTTCCAAACGGGAACTATGCTCGGTTCGGACGACGGTAACATGACGTTCTTAAGTAATGATAAGGATCCAGGAGCTGAAACCCACACGAGACGTCCTAAGGCGATTTTTGAACTCGAGATCGAGACTTCACGTGGAATACTACTCGGCATGGCAAACTTATTGTTCTGTGGCAATCTGCGGCTTGCGCGTGTGGTGGTTGCTGTCTTGCTCACGATTTGCTGGTCGGTGGCTTGTACCATGGCTTTCCCGTTAATACCGTTTCCCGTGTCTAGTACACCGAGGGATATCGAGTCGGCACCCTACTATTTTTGGGTCGTTAATTTCGTGGCTTCTTTGTGTGCCGTAAGTTGCCCAACATGGCCTAGTGCGGTCTCGTTGGTGTTGCAGAAATCTGCCTTCGAAGTGTTGCTATTGAACGCATTGAACTGTCCGTTGGCAGCATCAGTGGGATGCAGTGCAGCTCCAATTTCGTCGATGCAGGCGTTTGCTTTAGGAGCGATGGCGGTGGTGCTGGTGCATTCGCTCTCGGCGCGTGGACCTGCTAGTCTAGTCGTTGCAGCAACATTGGACTTGTTAGGATACGCTTATGTTGCTGGAGCTCTCGGGCTTCTAATTTCGATGGTAGATCCAAGCGATCGCAAGTCAACATGGGCCACGATCTGGCTTGGGATGTTGAGTGCGATGTGGGTGGCGCAGCTCGCCGGCTATGTGTGCGACGCCATTATGTATCGCTTCCAGCTTCCTCGTATGCGATTACTGCCTCCACGGATTGTAGTGACGCTAGATGTGGAGGCATCGCTGTGCGCTATCGCGGCGGGTAGTCTGGTGCTCGTCTTTGGAGGCGCCGTACTTGATGTTCCTGGTGGGGTGGTGCCAAAAGTGCTCTTCTCAGTTGGTAGCGTGCTCATGGCGAGGTTTGGACGTCTCATTATCTCTCTACTGAAGAAAGCAGCGGGTGTGCGTTGCAGTGGACGTCTCATGCCGGGCTTTGGTGGAGCTTTGGACGGCTCGCATGCGCTGCTCTTCACGTCGATCGTGTTTGTCAAGTACTATCTGTACGTCATAGCGCGACAGAGTAGTGAGGTGGACGACATGAGTGGCAGTGGTAGCTCCGCACTATGGGCGACGGTCACGTTTAGCACCGATCTTCGCAGTTAAAAGGCTGTAGTGACATGTTATTTAACTGTTGAAAAGCGAATGAAGCTTTTCAGGTAAAAAGGTGAATTTTTATCATTGATCCATTTCTTGAAGTTCTACTACTACTACTTATTTAGCTTACGGGGCAACGACCTCTCATTCACAAGTTAAAATGCGGCACTTCTACTTACTTAAACGGCATCGACTTGCGACGTTCTGGTGTCTCGGTGTCATTGCGACTCGTTCGAATCGATTGCAGCATCGAGGGTCCGGAATATGACGCTCTGCGCGCGTAGTATGACGCCTGCTGGAAGATCCTTTCCACGGACGCGTCCTCGGCTGAAGGTGGCGCCAACAGCGGCAGCATATACTCCTCATCCTCCGCTTTGGGAAAAGACCGCTTCGCCACGATGTAGATACCCAACAGGATAAGCACAAGACTGAGCGAATAGAGCACATAATGCCAAGTAGGCAGATGGTTCATGTCCCTAAAGAAACAGAGTCCTGAGATTGCGCCAGACATGATGTAGCTCGCCTCGTACAGGTAAATGACCACTACTGCGTCTTCGACAGCAAGCGCCTCGTTGAGTAGATACAGCCCAAATAGCGCTGTACCCACCGCGCCTATGATACAGACGTAGGTCACTGGAAACGACCAGATGCGACTAGCTCCGTCGTCGTGGACAGTTCGCATCACTGCAGCGAGGAAGAAGAGCTGGCCACTCATGACGCCGGCAAACACACATAGCGACACTCGTGCGATCACCGGAAGTTGTTCAGGGCTAGATACAGGCGAGCTCTCGACTCCAGCGCGACGAGTCGTCGTGGTAAAGTGTAGCGCATGTTTAGCGTGATGGATCAGGAAACTCAGCAATGCCAGCAACACCACAACATACAACAGAAAGGAGAAGGACTTAAATCTCGACGCGACTAGCTCTACCGGCAGTGGAGGGCTGTCGTGCGTGCCCGAGACGCCAACCAAGACGCACCCCGTGAAAATCAGCACTGCGCCCACAAAGTCGTTGGTTGTGAGACGTTCATGAGGCAGTAGAATCGGTCCAAACAGCGTGTTCCAGCCGATAGTGAGCCCTGCCATTGGCGCAAGTAGCGACTGTGTGGCGAAGCAGTAGGCCAGAGCCCCCAGAGCAGGATTCATCACTAGCATGGAGAAGAGGCCACAGTAGAAATAGGTGCAGCCCAGATTAGACTTGACGCCCATACTGGGGCTGGGCACAGCTCCGTGGCTCTTACGCAGCTCACGTTGCGCTGCTGCCAGCTCGTCCTTGTCGCGCTCATTGTGTGCCAGCTTGAGTAGTAGCTTCCCTGTGATCCCGAAGATACTGGAGATGGCGGAGAGAAGAAGACCCAGCGGCCAGCCGATGAACCACATGCCGGTTGCGTTACTCTGTGTTCTGTTACAGTTGGAGTCTGTTGGGAGGGTTCCAAGTGTGATGATGCGACGCAAGCTTTGGGCGTCGCAGGCGGTTCAGAAGTGATGAAGCCGCTCGATTCGGCGACGATGACGCAGTTAAGAAACAGACAGGACAAAGCTGCGACCGATCTGACGGGTGCGCTAGTCGCAGTAACGGAAAACTCTATGGTAACGTTAGAAATTCATTATTAACTTTTGTGGCTGGTTGAAGAGGTACGCTATAAAATGAGGAAGGAAGTTGCTGTAAAAAGCAATAGGTTGCAACCTAGTCGTCGTAGGACGGGATTTGGTCGTAGTTGTAGCCCTTCCAGCCCTTCCAGGCGCCGTAGAGCTGGTAGGTCGCGTAGCTACCTGGGATGAAGGCTACAGCAATGAAATCAATGAATCATCACCGTTAAAAAGACACAACACTGTTATCAACGCTATCTTACCGATAAGACCAAGAATGAGGAAGGAGAGTCCGCGCTTCTCCTTGTCCAGACCGATGAGGGTGCTCACGTAGATGAGAATGGAGCCAAGTGCAAAGAGACTCGCGGCTGCCAAGCCTGTGCGTATCGGAAACTTCTTTCTTCGGAGCTCCAAGTCCTTGAAAGAACGTTAGCCTTAATATGTTATAACTCGTGCCTAAAATCACCGACACGTACAGGTGCAGCCGCTCTAGCCGCGTCTTCCTTCGAGAAGGACGCAAACTTGGGATCTTCCACGCTCTTCAACACACGGTCGTCAATAGCATTGACCACACGGTGCACGTCCTTCGCCATGTCAACAGTAGGGGCACTCGTTGTCCTGTGTTGCCAAAAGATGCTCAAATGCTAAAACGGTTGACGTCGATTCATTAATCCTCTCTAAACCGATTTTCATTCGCGCAACATAATGTCAGATAAGCGCCATGATCTCGTGTGTGTGGAGTGCGGCGCCTCTGTGGCGGAGCTAGTGCGCGACTATGGCAAAGGGAACCTGCGTCTAGCCATCTGCAGTGCGTGCAACTCGGTTGCGGACAAATACGTTGAGTACGAGACGATCCTGCTCTTCCTGGAGGTTCTGCTGCTCAAACCTCAAGTGTATCGTCATGTGCTGTGCAATCTACCGGCTCCAGTCTCAACCCGGACGACGCTGAAGCTATTTGTGATCCTGGTCATGCTGGATATGAACGTCAAGGCGTATTTAGTGGACCGGGACGCCGGCGTGACCTTCCGCTCCGAGTCCATGTACAGAACCCCCGAAATTTCGGCGTCTGGAGCTCGGATCGGACAATTCTCGCTGCATTTAGTGTTTCTGGCACTAGTGGAGAACGTCGTCTACTTCGCTACTGTCTTTGCTGCAATCTGGATGGATCCATTCCGTCGAAAATGGAGAAAAACGCTGCTAAATGAGGGAACTGGCGCGGCTTGGACGAGATATGCCAGCGCCATGTGCATCTCGAGCTTCGGCAAGCTGTTTGCGCTATTGACAGTGATCTGGGAGTTCCATTGGAGCTTCATCCACGTCATTGGAGCGCTGGTACTGGTCTCTAATGTGCTGGCATTGCAACTTCTACTAGGGGAGGGAAATCCCGCACATAACAAGTCGCTGCATGTTGTAGCGATTGTCGTGTTCGGATTGATCGCTAGAGCTGCTGTGCAACTTTCCCTTTATGCGTTGGGCAACTCAGTACTCTTCCATGTTGTCGCTTAACCCTCAGAAATCGATAATTTTGGTAACACGTGACTATTTCAGTCGAGAAAAACGGAATCGTACACGTGTTAGCAATTGGGGTCCCTGTTAAAGTGATCTTTTCTCCACGCTGGCGTTGATCATGAGCAAAACTGAGTTGCCTCTAGTGCCCACCGCACGGTCGTCTAACTCGTCATCCTCTAGCCGTAGTAATCTTCATTCATCAAGCTCAATCAACTCAGAAAGGAGTGTGCGTAGCCTGTACCGGGAAGAAGATCGCGAGGAGGAGCCACAAGAGTCGAGTAGCGGACTGTGGGACGAAGTTGAACACTTTTTGAACAAGCCGTCGCCAAACCTGTCGAACTTATCGGGGAAGACGTCAAAGGTTGATAAACCACCGAGTAAACTACCTTCTTTAAATGGGAGAAGAGCGTCCCCAGACAACCAAGCGACGAAGTCGCGTGCTTCGATTGGACCAAAAACGATCGACCCCAAACTTCTTCAAGAAGCCTTCGCGTATGCCAATCAGCTGCAGCAGATGAGCCTCGCCGACGAAGATGCAGAGCAGCAGCGATCGAGAAACAACAAGACCAAAATGCACATGCAACGTGCTGCTCTTGGAAGAACAAACTCGTCGTCGTCACTGTTGAGTAATGGAAGAGCTGGTAGGGCCAAGAGCTTTTCTAGTGAGACTCGGAAACAGAAAGCGAAAGCGGCTTCTTCGTCGGCTTACAGCTCGTCCGTGAAGCCTAAAGCTGTTCGAAAGAAGCGCAGTACGTTTGAAGAGAGTCCGTTGAGTGTAGAGATGGGGTCTAAGGCGAAATCCAAGGGTCACATGGATCCCCAGACACTGCAAGCGCTTGTGAGCAACCTCCAGAACGGCACGAGGTTGGACGAGCTGCGTCGAGAGCTCGCAGTCTCTCGGCAGAGTATGGCCATCTCTCGCCAGGTTCTACAAGATGCAGCTCAGAATTTCTTCCAGTCGCACTAGACCAGGAGAGAAATTTTACAAAAATAAAAAATACACATAAAATACTAGATATTCCAGTAATATCAACCCTTCGTCATACATCTAGGGAGCAGTGGCATAGTTCTTTGCGAGGTCGCTTGCCTCCTCCAATTGGATGGCTGTTCGCTGCATCCGCTGCACGTCTGCAGTAGCTAAACGTCGTTTCTCCTCCACTTCTCTTTGTAGCTCCTTGGTTTTGGCTTCTAGCGCCTCCACAAGAGCCTCCAGCTCCTTTTTCTCTTCCTGCTTGGCACGCAGCCTTTCAACTCGAACACGAGCTTCAGGTGATGTTTGGTCTTCTTCTAGTTGTTCTTCTTCCTCCTCCTGTTTCTTCTCTTCTTGTTCTTTCTGCTTTTTATCTTCTCGACGCAGTCGTCGATGTTCGGCTTGTTTGATGACGTCTTCGAGCTCCAGCAGCTCCGCGTCCACGTCGTTGGTCTCACAGAGCCACTCAAATACCGTCTCCACTTTCTGTCGCAAGCTAAGCACTGCCTGTGCTGCCACTTCTTCGGTATTGTGGTGCTCCGGGCTCTCGGGTGCAAGAGGCGGGAAGAAAGCAGCCAATAACTCCTCATCCCCTCGACATTCGCTCTCCAGACACGCACGCAAGTCCACGAGCGAAGCATTGTGAACTGACACGTCAAGTGCCTTCTGGAGAATTAATTTCATGCGCTTCATGCGCACGGACTGACGCGGCTTGGCCGACGCAGTCGACGGAGCTGGCGACGTGGGCACCGACGGCATTGCTGCTGTGAAATTGAAATATGAGCGCTGTTACGATTTCTATTGTTTGTTATTAAAATCCAGTAATGTTGCTTTTCGACCAATAGGAGTATCGTCTTTTTTGTCAAAGTCAGAAACGACCTCGAAGTGACGGATCTCGGAGCGTCTTGTTCATTATCGACAGCGTCATGTGGTTCTCATCTCTGCGACAGAAGCTGCAGCTGCTGATCATCATCTTCTTCGTCTTCGTGGCGTTTGCGGCGTCCGATGCAGCCTGGATGCCCTGGGTGCGTAGAGAACAACCGTCCCATAGTTCATGAAACCACTTATAATAACATTTTTTTTCTCTCTTAGGCAACGCTGGTGATTTTCCTGACCATGCTGCTCATGACGGACCTGCTGTTCCTAAACGAAGCAGACTTTAAATTCGATCCAGACTACAAGGTAAGCGACGATTGCGGTCTTTGCGTGGTGCAACAACTTCTAACAATTGCGTTGGTAGAACTGGGCACGTGCAGTGGACCCCCAGTATTAAGCAGGAGGAGACAGCGTCTGGACCCGAAGACACATGGAATCTTAAGCTTAAACACTGGAGACAAGGGCGAGTTGATATCTATATTGCAATAAACAACGAACGATTTACGCTCATACACAACGCACGTCCTTCTTTTTCTTTTGATAATTGTTGTCTAGAGACACTTTTTCAGTACACCATCGCATAGTACCGTGAGAACACCAGCGTAGCGAACATCAGTGCATCGATACGATCTAGCACTCCGCCATGGCCTGGGATCAGCGTCCCCGAGTCTTTGACTCCTGCAGCTCGCTTTAACAGACTCTCAAACAGGTCTCCGAGTCGGCCAATCACCACCGCGACTACAGTAAACGCCACTTTCGTTCCAAAAGAACCTGGGAGATCCAATACATCGGAAGACACGACCATAGCCACAATACCGAAACCGATCGCTCCAACTGTACCTTCGTAGTCTTTGTTCTTGGACAAATGTGCTGCGAGAGGGTTATAATACGGATACTTTGCCATCGCCAGTAATTTACCCGTAATATACGCTCCCGTATCGGACGCCCACACAACGTATAGAAGTGCAATGAGCAGCTTGCGGTAAAGTGTCCGTCGCTCGTCGTCCACAAACGCCACAAGAACCGACAGCGTGCCGATGATGTAAACGAGACCCACTGCGTCCAGCGTGAAGGTCAAGAAGGCTTCAGCATTGCTACGACATGTGGCAAACCGGAACACAAGAAAGACCACCATTCCGGTCAATAAAACCTGCGCCGGCTTGACTGCCATGTTACACGACAGCTCGTTCATCGGACACGCCGTCGAGTGTAGCGTTAGAGTCGTAAAGATCGCGTTCTGTAAGAAAATAACCACTGCATACTGCCAGTCCGGCGACAGACACGCACACATGGCAGCTACGAAGCCCGTCGCGACGGTATAAAACCACCGAGACTCGTAAAACTCCGTCGTTGCAAGTACCGGTATGTCTTCTATAGCCAGGAGGAAAATGCAGGACGAGATCGAGCACATTAACGCCGAAATCCACAGCGCCGCCAGCCACTCTCTTCCTCCGAACAAGTACTTGGCTACATCCGTTACAGCACAGCGTCGTAGCCTAAGTGCTTGTTCTTTAAGCTCACTATTGACCCGTTCCAGCTCCCTGGCCTCCTGTTCTTCCTGGAACGCCCGTGTCGTTGTCATACGCCCGTCGGTTGACTGTCTTTGGTGCAATTGAGCGTTTAATGGACTGTCAAAGACAAACGTCCGACTGGCTGTCACGAAGCCGCTACTGCTGCTCTCACTGTCGCTGCGTGTGTCTGGGTGGGACACATTACTGACTCCCGCTCCGGTTCTAGTGACGCTGCCGATGGAACTCTCGAGTGCCTCCAGTCTCGTCAAGAGACGGAGACGAATACGGTTCGCCAGGCACGCGTATTCGTACGAGCAAGTGCTCGTCATGAAGCTGCAGACGGTGGACGTGGCAATAGCTGGTGACAGCCATAGAAACATCGTCACAGCGGGCGCGAGCACCGCAGCGGAGAGCGTGCGCTGCACCACATTGTAGCGTAGGAAGGCGGGACAGCGACTTCGCGACTGAGGCGGGGATTGCTGGAGGCTGTGGTAGGAGCTCACGAGCGGAGAGTTTTGCACGTCTGTCGCCGGCTGTGGCATTATTGGGATGCCCGAGGCCTCGTGCTGGCTTGTGGAGCTCTCCATCGCTGGATAAGGATGCAAGGTCAAGTGGGATGCACCGGCTTTTTCGACAATGAGCCGGGCGCAGATTGTTTAAACACTTTAAAAAATATATTTTAGCGACATTTAACTGACAGAACAATGCTAAAATGGCTATAAGCGTTAGATACGTGGTTTTTCACTCCTATCTCACGACTGCAATGCGTAGTAGCGTGAGAAGACGATCGCAGCGAACATGAGTGCATCAATCCGATCCAGTACGCCTCCGTGGCCTGGGATCAGTGTCCCGGAGTCTTTGACACCTGCGGCTCGCTTCAATAAGCTCTCGAACAAATCTCCCAATCGCCCGACAACAACCGCTAAAATCGTAAAGCCAACTTTCAGGCCGAAAGAGCCTGGTAAGTCCAATAGTGTGGAGGCTACTGCCATGGTTACGATACCGAAGAGGATCGCGCCGAGCGTACCTTCATAATCTTTGTTCTTGGACAAGTGCGCGGCTAAAGGGTTGTAGTACGGGTAGTGGAAGTAGTCCAGGACTTTGCCAATAACGTAGGCTCCTGTATCAGACGCCCAGACAATGTACAAGAGCGCAATAAGTAGTTTCCGGTACAACGTGCGATGGTTGTCGTCGACGAAAGCGACAGTGTGCCCGTCACATATAATAGCCCCACGACATCCAGCATAAAGCTGACAAAAGCTTCGGTTTTATCAGTAGTTGATGCAAAGCGGAACACTAGGATTAGTGTCATCCCACCGAGAAAAATCTCGGACGTACTCATAAGCAAGTTACAGTGACGACTCCGTATTGCTTATCTGGCGTAAAACACGCCGAGAGGCCCACCACAAACCCTGTGGCGACAGCGAACATCCCCCGGTATCCATAGAACTCTGTTGTGTGTAGTTGAGGTATTTTCTGTATCGAGAAGAGCAATATTGTACTCGTGATACCGCTTATAAAGAGTGCGACCCAGACGGCAGCGGCCCATTCGTAGCCTTCAAAGTATCGGGCGGCGAGTTCAGTGATTGCACACCGGTTTAACCGGTTCTCTTGGTCTCGTAACTCGCAGTCCACCACTGCGATCTCTCGGTTCTCCCTCTCTGCTTGTAGTTCTCGCGCTGTAACATGCGACTCACGTCCTGTACTGCGTATCCTCGCCGAGTCTAAGCTGCGTCTCGGTGTTTGTTGCCTCTCTTCGTCACTCTCACTGGCGTTGCTCCGTGTATAATGATGTACTGTATCACTGTATCGAGAGCATCTGCTGACGCCTTCATTCGAACCTTCCATGGCCTCTAACCGCGTCAAGATTCGCAGTCGAATACGATTCGCCAAGCACGCGTATTCGTACGAGCATGTGCTGGTGAGAAAACTTAACCGCGTAGTCGTTGCGAACGCCGGTGAGAGCCATAGAAACACCGTCACGGTTGGAGCTAAGACTGCATCGTAAGAATTCGAGTGTGAGTCTCCATTGCGCTGTAGTATCTGAGATGACGCATGGCGCGTCACCGGGCTCTCCGACCTTCTATCACTACGTAACGTAGGTGCCATAAGCACAGACTTGTAGGGCAGTAGGTGTAGAGCAAGTAGGAATAGGATGTAAGACACGTGAGTGCCGGGCAAAGTACCACGACAGGACCACGGAGTTCTGGTGCTTGCTGCCTCTCACTCGTTGTGCACGCAGCACAGCAAAAGCAGTTGTGAGAGTGAGAGCTGCCAGCACCTGAACCTCCATGTCCCGCAAAGTTAGATTAGCACATACTCAGTCTAAGATAGTCTATAGAAAGCTAAGTAGTTCACCATCACCTGCAACGCAGTTGCAGTTGCTCACCGCCACCAATGTCGTCCTTCATACAGTCCTTGGTATCTTCCGCACGCCGCTCGCACGTGAGCGCGTTGCAGACCGGTACGCCGGGATGCAGTACATGCATAGACACGCGTAGGATTGTAGGTTGGATCGGTAGTACTGGTATTGCCAGTGTCTTGGGCTGTGGCAATGAAGTCTGGCACTGGACACTGGCAGACCGTAGCAAGTAGCATCTCACAGTAGCAGGATAGCATCTCACACTCCCACTTGATCTCGGCGATGCAGTGCCGAATCGACGCGATCACATCGCTTCATCCGTACACACACCACTGAGAATAGTCGTACGATAGCCACCACCACCGTAATTTGCTAGCTGCATAGTCTCCCACTCGAATCGCACATGTCCGTAGTCCAGCGCAGTTGATTGCATGCTAGTGTTGTGGTACAGCCACACGAAACTGGTTCTTCCAGTCGGCACACAGGCACACTACATGTCATCGTCGTCAGTAATGTCTAATCCGTCGTTCTTGACCGCATCGCAGGTGACGCAGTCAAGGTATCATGCATCGCAGTTGACGCAGATGTAGCCTTTTCATTTACAGTGGCAGCCATGCTACTGTCTGCCACGATAGGCAGTACCTTCAGCATCTTTCGGAATCGGGAGATCTTGACCACCGCAAGTGGTTTGGTCATGATGTCCGCCACCATGTTCTCCGTCCCGATGTGTTGCGTAATGATCCGTTTTAGTTCCACGTTCCGCCGCCCCATGTGGTATTTGTTGTCAATGTGTTTTTGCTTGCTGTGCTTGCCGGGTTTAGTCGTTAGAGAGATGGCTCCCTGATTATCTCCGAGTAGTACAGGTAGTGCATGTTTCCACACTAGTTCTCGGCAGAGCCCTGCAAGCCACAGCAAGTTCTTTGTAGCTTCAGCCATTGCAACGTACTCAGCTTCGCATGTACTCTGAGCATTGATTTCTTGTTTCCTCGATGCATAGGAGACAACATTGTTGTCCATCGTCGTCACGTATCCACTGATGCTGCGGCGGTCAACTGGATCATTAGCATAGTCAGCATCCGAATAGCAACCCACACGTAGGTCACTCGCTGACGCAACATCCATCACCAGACCAAAGTCACGTGTAGCCTGCCGGTAGCGCAATACCCGCTTGGCTTGCGCATAGTGAGTATGGTCGTAGCTGGCTAGGTATTTCCCGAGATGTCTGGTTGCGTGTGCGATGTCAGGTCTTGAGGCACTTACAAGATACTGAAGCGCACCAACCAGCTCTCGATAGGGCAGGTACTCGGTCGTAGCAGGAACAACCGCCTTTGAGGGTGTCAAAGCCTCAGGCGTAGTACACCCATTGCACGTCTCCATGTGAAATCGTTTGAGTACTTCGAGTACATACTGTTTCTGGCAGTAGATAATCTGTCGACTGGGTCGGTTGATCAAGATCTCCACACCTAGTAAGTACTTCACGGTTCCCATGGTCGTGAGCTCAAACGTTTCTTGCAGCGCGGCTGCAATTCGAGCACACAGCTCACGTGGACCCATTAGTGATAGGTCGTCCACGTATACAGTTAGGAGCATAGTCACTTCTCCATCCTTCTTCAGCGCGTACAAGCCGTAGTTCGACTCCAGTCTTTCAAGCCCAAGTGTCAGCAACTTGGCATGTAGAGTTCGGTTCCATACGTTCGGTGCTTGTTTAAGTTCATAGAGGCTCTTCAAGAGCTTACAGACAAACGCTGGCCCATCTGTTTGAAAGCCTGGTGGTTGCTCCATGAAGGTTAACTCATCGAGGTCCCCGTAAAGAAACGCGGTCTTTACATCGTACTGAAGAGCTTCCCATCCTCGTTGAAAGGCGAAGTAGATGGCAACACGGATCGTCTCAAACCGGAATTTACCGGTGCGTAAGGTCTCACTGTAGTTACACGCCCAGTTGTTGTTTGAAGCCATGAATCACGAGACGAGCTTTAAATCTTTCACACGCCCTCGTTCGTCACGCTTAACAGCGAACACCCATCTGCACGTAATAACCTTGACGCCTTTGGCTGCCGCGCGTGGCACCAATTTCCATGTCTTGTGTCGTTTCAGTGACTGTAGTTCAGCAAGCATAGCAGCCTTCCATTGAAGCCAATGCTTGCTCCGACGTGCCTGCTTGTAGGTCGTCGGTATCTCAATGTCCATATTGATAGACATCACGTTGCCCACCACATAGTCAAGAAGCCGCACGCTTGGCTTCTGCGTCCTTCGAGGTCGCTTGAGACAGGGTTGAACAGTTGGATCGCAAATCTCAGAAGTTTTCGTCTCCTTCTTTTCTGGTTCAAGTTTCTTTCGCGTCTTTCGTTTTCGTCGTTTGCCAGACTTGAGTGCCGCAGGTGGCTCCTTCGTCTCATCGTTCACAGCAACTTCAACTGGTGCATCTACACCGGCTGGCGACTCTACTCTTTGTTCGTCAGGTAAGTCGTCTTTCGCACTCCCACTGGACTCATGCTCTTTGTCCTGCAGGTCATCAGCTATTGGCACCATCTCGAGCTGCTTCGTCACATTCGAAGACTCAGAGCTCCAACCAGGCAGGTACGTTTCCATACTAGTCTTGATGCGTGCCACCGGAACACTATCGGGCAACTGATGATCACCATCGTGATATGCGTTCTCTAGGAGTTGCTTTACGTAAGTGCCGTCACTTGTAAACTCCTCGTGAAATCGCGTTTTTCGTCCACGTGCAGTCACGACTTGAGCTGTCTTCAAATCCAGAAATTTGTAGCCCTTGGTATCATGACTATAACCAAGTAATAGAGATATTCGTGCTCTCGGCTCCAATTTTTCCTTCTTTTGTCTGGACTCAGGAGGGACACGCACGTGTGCCACACATCCCCAAGTCCGAAGCTCATCCACATCGGGTGTCACACTGTACAGCTTCTTGTATGGCGAGACCAGTCCTAGCGGTTTAGTTGGTAGCCAATTCAGTGTCGTAACAATGTGTAGAAGTGCTTCTCCCCATAGCATGTTAGGAAGATGTGTAGCGGTTAGCATAGCACGGATGCGAGGCAGTACAGTGCCATTCGCTCGCTCCACCACACCATTCTCCTGAGGAGAGTAAGCATTCGTGAACTGCTGCACAATCCCATGCTCATTGCAGTAATCTCTCAGCGCATTACTGGTGAATTCACCACCCTGATCAGAGTGCAGTCTCCGAACAGTGAGCTTGGGAAACTGAGTCCGAAGTTGATGTAGCAAAATCTTGACGTACAGTGTATCCGCACTCTTTCGTTCGAGTAGATACGCCCACTAGAAGCGAGTAGCTTCATCAATGATTAGCAGGAACATAGTTGCACCACGTTCCGTCGGTTCATTCATCGTGCATATGTCCATCATCAACATCTCAAGCGGTTCAGACTTCCGTTTAGGAATCCTTGCATAAGTCATCCGTTTAGTCTTGCTAGCAGCACACGCAACACACTCGTAGGAGCTCAGACCTTGTGCATTAATCTTTACTCCGACATCGAGCTTACTCGACAGTTCTCTCACAGTGTCCATACTCATGTGAGCGAACCGTTGGTGCAGTAACTCCATCGTCTTTCTGCTGTCCATGTCTTGTTGCGTGCTGCCATCACCATCACTCCTGACACTCGCTCTGCCTTCAATCGGTAGATATTGTCTCTCATGATAAACTTCAACGAAGTACCTGGCTTTGAGAGCCAAGCTGACTGCTGATCATCTGAGCACAGCAGCTTGTAATTCCCAGCCGTCTGCAAGTGACCGAGGCTGATAATGTTCACCTTTGCATTAGGAGTGTAGACCACGTCCTCAAGGAGGCGATCTTCTTGTTCACCAGTTGTTTGGTTTACAATGCGTAGCAAGACAGAACCACACATAGTTGCATGTTCCGATGTTCCGTTGGCAAAGTCAAGCCGACTGGTGCGATCTTCTCGAATGGTAGTAAATAGAGACAAGTCTCCACAGACATTCGCCTGAGAGCCAGAGTCCAAAATCCACTCCACCCAGTCTAAGTCATCAGACTGCTTTCCTTGGTTTCGACCAGTCGCATTCACCTGTCGAATTCCACCGATACCAACATTCCCACGATTTTCGCAGTGTCTAGGCGAGTTTCCACGACGACTTGGCGACAAGTTTCGACGTTGAAGATCATTTCGACGAATGCAATCATTCAGTAGTGGTCCACGCGCGGGTGATGGTCAACTACGCCACGGCTCTTGCGGCTGGGGTCCATAATGACTTGGCGGCTGGTTGTTCGCTCGTGGCTCACGACGAGCAGACCAATTACGACCACGAGGTGGCGAACGCCAACGCAATGGCGAACGCCCACGCTGCAGTGATCTTCCTCTCGGTGAACGACTTCTTCCAGACTGCGGTGGTCTTCCTTGTTGCAGGTTTCGGGGCGGTGAGCGACTCCATCTACGTTGCGGCGACCTTCCTCGTTGGAAGTCCCGAGGAGGTGAGCGGCTCCTTCCACGTTGCGGTGATCTTCCTCTTTGGAAGTTCCGCGGAGGTGAGCGGCTCCTTCCACGTTGCGGTGATCTTCCTCTTTGGAAGTTCCGCGGAGGTGAGTAGTTCCAGTCTTGAAGTTGTAGTGAGTCAGCTCGTCCTGGTATAAATCCACTGCGTCCTAGCTCATAAGGACTCATGTTGGACTGATATCCTCGCCCGTAATCTTGCTCGGGTCCTTGGCATCCGCGTCGCTCAACATTAGGTCCACAATGATCATCCCCCGGCACAGGTGGACCCACTTGTGGTCCACCTTTGGTGTACCATAGCTCAGACCCAGGTCCTTGCGAGCTCTGCATCAGTCCTTGACCCAGATAGTATAGTGCAGTTCCCAAAGCAGGAGGTGGACCAAGCGATTGGCCACTCTCCCACTGGCTTTTCATCGCCGCTGGTACAGCAAGTTGCACCTCTTGGTGTCCTGTATGCACTTGTCCATCCTTTTGTTCTTGTTCTCTACCTTGCATATGGTTAGCAGGAACTCTCAGTTGCAGTTGTTGCGGTGTCGTTGGCACGTTCGGGTGTACACTTGGACTCGAGTCCGACTGCCGACGTCTTCACCTCTTCAGCCAGATTCTCATCTTCAGCCTCACTGCTCGCAGGTGTTGTCACCGAATACACGGGAGACATGTGTGCAGCCGTCGCCACATCATCGCTGTTCCCATCGTTATTCGCCAGTCGTGTCGTCGCACACAACGAGAGACCCGAGAATAGGGCTCGTTGCTCACTGTCAGACTGGGCAACTTCAACTCGTCTCACCGAGTTGATGAGGGAAGCTGGCGACTTCTTGTACTTCAACTTGTTCTTAAGTCTCTTGGCCAGGTCTGGTCTCAGTTGCATGCCAGTCTGCGCAGTGCATTCTGCATACCAGTGACCATCTCCATTGCAGTTAGCGCAGGCTGTGTGCTGCTTCTTCTCAGCTGCAACCTTTGCCTTCTTGTGCTGGTTCTTCCCACGTTTCTTTCCAGACTCACGTCCACTTCCACTGTTGTGTCCATGTCCGTAGCCTTGACCTTGTCCTCGTCCTTGTCCTTGGCCAGTACCAACCTGCGAGACTTGCATTGTCCGCGTTGTAGGCCGGTTCGTCTGCTGTTGCAGCTGATCACGCTGATGTTCAGCGGAGCGCAGGCGCTGCAACGCCTCGGACAGCTTTAGGCCACGTCGGTCGTGTTGGTTGATCCAGTCTGCGTGTTCACGCGCGAGATCTCGAAATACCAACACGCAGTTTGATAGAAGTAGACTTGCATGTTGCCATTCTTCAAATTCACCATTTCCTTGACGCAGGAGTGTCACCTTTCGTCCGATGTCCTCCACGTACGCAGTAACGGACTCGTTCGGTTGTAATCGGCGAGTCACCAAGTCCTGTAGCAAGTAGTCAGGGTTGATGCCGTCTCCAGCCTCAAAGTGTTTGATAATCGTTGAATACAGCATTGCTGCCGCATCCATGCTGTCTCTTATCTCATCAATCTTGAACGTAATGCGTAAGTCCACAGATAGAGATAGAGCCAACGCGGAGAACGCCTTGTTCTTTCGCGTCGCATACCACTCATGATACTTAGGGCGACGTAGACCTTCCTCTTCGTCATATCGCTCTCCTCCATACGTAATGTCGCCTAGCGAGCGCGTCTCGAAGTGCAATGGCACCTCGCTTCGCCACGCTTTGTAGTCTTCTTTCTTGTGAAGCTTAGGCAACACAATGCTTGCGGAGTTGCACAACGCCTTGGTGTGGTCGGACAGCTCATTGTCGTCGTACCGACCACCGGGGTTCATGTTGTCCAGGCTGCTCTCTCCTCGGCTCGTGTAGCTTCGTCCACTGCCAACCGATCCTTGGCTCGACGGTGGTGAAGGCGGAGGGGGCGGATTTTCAACTGGCCCCGTTTCTTCGATTGTGTTCGAATTCTGCATACCTTCGAGTAACACTCGAAGCAACGGTCGCCCACCAGTAATTCCGACCAATGAGCGAATTAGTAGCTCAGCATCAGATTGCGATAATGTCGCATCATCCGGGCCATTCAGTCTTTCGACCAATCCCGGGGAATCTCCTCCTTGATTCGTCAAAACTTCTTCTTGTGTGTTTTCAACACCAGAGTCCACGTCAGTCGAGCGCCCTAATTGGGCTCATAACCTGAGATGACGCACGGCGCGTCACCGGGCTCTCCGACCTTCTATCACTACGTAACGTAGGTGTCATAAGCACAGACTTGTAGGGCAGTAGGTGTAGAGCAAGTAGGAATAGGATGTAAGACACGTGAGTGCCGGGCAAAGTACCACGACAGGACCACGGAGTTCTGGTGCTTGCTGCCTCTCACTCGTTGTGCACGCAGCACAGCAAAAGTAGTTGTGAGAGTGAGAGCTGCCAGCACCTGAACCTCCATGTTCCGCAAAGTTAGATTAGCACATACTCAGTCTAAAATAGTCTATAGAAAGCTAAGTAGTTCACCATCACCTGCAACGCAGTTGCAGTTGCTCACCGCCACCAATGTCGTCCTTCATACAGTCCTTGGTATCTTCCGCACGCCGCTCGCACGTGAGCGCGTTGCAGACCGGTACGCCGGGATGCAGTACATGCATAGACACGCGTAGGATTGTAGGTTGGATCGGTAGTACTGGTATTGCCAGTGTCTTGGGCTGTGGCAATGACGTCTGGCACTGGACACTGGCAGACCGTAGCAAGTAGCATCTCACAGTAGCAGGATAGCATCTCACAGTATCGACCGCGGGGACACTGACACCTCGCGAATGTAGGGAATGTCGACGCGCGGGGAGCTCATGTCTCGTATAGCAGGGGCGTACGTGGAGGCCATGGCGGCCAACGTTGATGAGTGGCGACTAATTTTTAGTCTAAGAATTATTGTTTACTACCGCGTTAGTAAACAATTACGTTTATGTGTAGTTGTTGTCACATCGACCGTCAAAAATGAGTAGCTTGTTATGTGGTAGTAGTCAGCTTCAACAATGGAAATGCGACCATAACACCAAATGTTACCCTTTTGAGAAATTGACTCTCAAACAAGAAGAAGCTTGAAAAGAATGAGTGGCAGAGCATTGGTAAGAAATGTATTGGGTACATGCGACGAAGTGCAGCGACTTGAGGCCGAGTTTGTTGTGTCTCTAGTGAGCGAGGTGGCGACGCTGGATAGAAATTTGGAGGCGAAGCTAGCAGCGTCAAGTCCATTACGATCGCGTCTTGTCGAAGCTTGAGTGTGCAGGCGAAATTTGTTGTTGTTGCAAGAGGCAATAAGTGATGATTTCGATACTTCGGTGTCGACGGAGCATGGCATGCGTGAAGTCAGCACGGGGAGGCTTGTAACTCTCCACGAGAAAACACAGCTCTAACCTTGACATTTTGTGCACCCAGGTAGACGGGTAGGTCCAGCGTGCTAGAAGACTGGCTTCAGATGGCGCGGAAGCATGAGTATCGTGGTAGTATTGTCGCCCATGTGCGAGATATGTAGATTGAGATTGCTGACAATGAAGCGAAACTAGACATTGTCACTCCAGCTAAAATGATCGATTGTGTAAAGTGTAAACTGTCGTGACTGGAGGGAATGTCACTACTGTATGGCTCATTGTGTGACTGTCCGTTGGTGGATCAAGCAGATTTACAGATAGCTTACGGAAGCTCGTTTTTCTGTGTTTTCTACACAACGAGAGGCCAGGGCGGAGACTGGAAATAAGGTGCAGCCTGAAGAAGAAGAGAAAAACTTCATTGCCTCGTCCTCCGCTTGTTGGTCAAAAGTGCAGCATAGAGAGAGCATCGACTCATGACAGCGTGGACATTCGGAGAAGAAAAACAAGGCTGTTCACTCGATTGCACCCTTTCATGAATTCGCCGGCGTGAAAAGACCCTTTACGCGCCAAAGGGACTACGGTGATAGCACAGTGCTCTACTTGTAGTCACTGTTTCTTCTTTTTTTTTTTTTTTCCTAATCAAAATGTAATTATTATTTTATTATTGAAATTATGCAAGTACTTAAGTAGCATTTTTCCATGTGTCATGCTCCAACATTGAAGTACCGCGAGAAGATCAAAGTCGCAAACATCAACGCGTCGATGCGATCCAGCATCCCGCCATGGCCAGGAATGAGTTTGCCAGAGTCCTTCACACCTGCAGCGCGCTTTAAGAGGCTCTCAAACAAATCTCCTATCCGTCCGGTGATCACCGCTACGACTGTCAACAGAACTTTCGAGCCGAACGATCCAGGCAGATCGAGAGCTTTAGAAACCGCAGCCATTGTTCCGATCCCAAAGGCTATAGCTCCCACTGTTCCTTCGTAGTCCTTGTTCTTGGATATATGTGCAGCCAGTGGGTTATAGTACGGATACTGGACCCATTTCAGAGCTTTACCCGTGATATAAGCGCCAGTATCGGACGCCCAGACAATGTACAATAACGCGATAAGTAGCTCCCGGTATAGTACCTTACGCTCATCATCCACGAATGCCACGAGTACGGACAGTGTTCCGGAGATGTAGAAGAGGCCTAGCACGTCCAACATGAACGATAGGAAGGCCTCCACACCGCTCTTACACGCAGTCAAGCGACAGATAAGTAGCATCAACATGCCGACAAGGAACGCCACTTCGGGTTCCAGTCCAATCCCACAGCTAAAGTTGTCTAAAGGGCACCCTGTCGAGTACATTGTGAGTACAGTAAACACACCATACTGCACGAGCACCGTGAACGCGTACTGCCAATCCGGTGCCAGACACGCACAGAAGGCAGCGACGAAGCTTGTAGCAATGGCATAGAACCACCGAGATTTGTAGAATTCGGTAGATTGGAGTGCCTGGGTGTGCTCCACTGACAGAAGGAACAATGTGGTCGAAGCGGCACAAATTACTACCGACAAAAACGCAGCAGCCAGCTTGTCGTTGTCGTTGGAATAGAGCGATGCTAGCTCGCTCACAGCGTGGCAGTTTAGCCGTGCCTCTTGTGGACGTAGTTGGTCATCGACATGTGCGATTTCGTCTTGCTCTTGCTCTTCCAGACGCGAGCGGAGATCCGTCTGCGATGGTCGTTGCACTTGCAGTCGTGCTCTGCTTTCAAGATCAGGGCTTGTGTCACGGAGTAGAGACCGTGACGAGTAGTTGCTAGTGATAGCGTCTACCTCAGACGCAAAACTGCTGTTAGACACGGTCGAATCTTCGTTCCAAACGCCTTCCAGCGCGTCAAGGCGCGTGAGGATACGTAAGCGAATTCGATGCGACAGCCATGCGTATTCGTACGAACACGCACTTGTTACAAAGCTGCAGACCGTGGAGGTGGCAAAAGCCGGGGAGAGCCACAGGAAGGCTGTAACCAGCGGAGCCAGAACAATTGACGATATGACTCGCTGCACTGCATTCAACCAGCTTTACTTTTGCTCCATCTCGAAGGATCATTTGGACTGGACACAGGTGTATCAAAAGCGTACGAAAGAAATCCCCCTTCAGGAGAGAGAATCGTTTCTTGAAAGCTGTGGTGAATGGCTAGCGGATCGGAGCGCCTTGGATCGCGGCAACACGAGCTTGGACTCATCGGAACATTTATAGGTGAGACGCTCATCGTGGCGACTTGCTGTCCAGTTGCTGTTTATAAAATTTATTATGTTGAAGTTAGAAATGAGAAAATACTACTACTTTTGTGGAAGTGATACAAATTCAATCGTATCATTCCAGTGGTTATAAAACGCAGCAATCAAATAAGCGAGTCTGTTGGATGTTAACGGTAATTTCAAGCGATCACCAAGGTTGATTGTCGCTAACCACGGCAGCTAAATACTGGTAGATCATTTGATATTGTCCCTGCACAACACACATGTTAGTCCATGTAGCTCCAACAACAGAGTAGAAATGACGTACCGGGGTTTGTACCATGCCAGGTCGTTGAGATCGCAGACTGTAGACGACTCGCGGGATGTCCAGAGCCTGCTTCATCGTCTCAGCACTATCCGCTGTATCCATCAGAGCTTGACGCAGCTGCTTCAACAGAATATCTATGGCGATGAACGTGCCGGAGCGTCCAATGCCGGCACTACAGTGCACCACAACTCTCGCATCCACCTTATAGCGCCTCGATGCCTCGTCACGGTAGCTGTTGACTGCATCGAGCATTGGTGCAACTACTCGGAAGTCACGTAACACACCGTGATCGGGCCACGTCGTCAGCTGAATGTGCTGAACGACGCGGCTTTCTCCGCTCCCATCCTTCCAGACCTTAAGCTTTCTGACAATGAACCCCAAGCTCGTAGGATGTTGCTCTTCCATCAGCTGGACGTGCAGGCTGTCAAAGGCCACAGTCTTTCCTCGTGGGTCCCAGTACAAGTCGGCTTTCCGTCTCTCACTTTCGACAAAGTTCGTGAGCATGAGCACTACGTGCACGTCGCATTGCCACACCATGTGCCAGAAGTCGCGGATGGCTGCAGGTACCGGTGCACAGCAGGCGATGTAGCCTCCGTCAATGTAATTGGCGTTAATGTAGTCGTCTCCTGGTTGCGCAGACGCTGCTTGTAGCTTCACCCGCGTCTTTTCGAACGGAAGCACGTCCAGGTACCGGTTTTTGGCCTTGGTAGCTTTAGTCTGCAGAGTCAGCGCTGCCTCGTAGCCTGGCGCTTTGTCGATACTCCAGCAGAGTTCCATGTACTCCCGTTCGAAGCCTGAGGCGCCCGAACGTCTGCCCCGATGCTGTAGTCGCTGCGTCGTGGCCAGAAACGCATCGATAGCGACGCTGGTGGTCGACGGGAGGCTATTCTTTTCAGCTAGAGCACTCCGCAACGACGCAATGCCGCTGTCAGCAGCAGGAGACGGAGTGGCCGGTGCGTCCATACGCAGGAAGGGGGCGGAGAACGGCGATCGCCAGGCGGGTCAAGTGTTGCACAGGAATGGTTGCGATTACCACATTCCATTACCCGAATATGTACAATGGGCTAAAGCCACAAAATGGAAATGAAATGTAGTGATATATGGTGTGGTAAACACAAATGTTAAAAATTAAGGAGTCAGTTTCTGTTGGTACAGTCGAGATGGAGATGTCGCTGCAGCAACGATGGTCGCGCTTCGCTGAGGAGGATCTGGGCACGTTTGTCACTTGCTCGGCGCTGTTCACGCTCTTTCAGACTGGCGTGGAGTTTCACGCAGTCAAAGACAAACTATTGCCTACTAGCCAGCGTGCGGTCCTCGCGATGCGTCGCACAGGTCCCAAGGTGCCGCTGCTTGTATGCTCTGCCGCTGCGGGAATTGCCGGCATGAAACTATCGATCGCTGCCGTGTCGCACTACCGTCAGGACTTCTCGCGCGACAACGTGCTTATGGCGTTGCCCGTTTGTGGAGCGCTGCTCAACCTTCACCGGGGCTCTCATGCAATGGCCAAGGGAGCACTTGGACTCGCCACGGTCGGCTATGGCGCTGACTACGTCTTCAGCATCTACCACCGCTTGAAATTTGAGGACGCATTGCGCCAGCACGAAGAAAAGCAGGCGCTTCTGCGCTTCCAACCGACAACCAGCTTGGACTTCGAGTGATCGCCATTTTAAATAAAATTAGACCGGGACTATATACTTAAGTAAAAATAAAATTAACACATCCATCTCGTCAAAGGTATTTGCTCGGCCGTGGGTTAAATATTTGTGGCGTGATTTGCTGCAAGTGGTACACTTTATGCCGGACTCAGTCTGACACGAGAATTGCCATGACGCCGAGCAAGGTCTTCGATCACGCCGCGCACGCCCAGCACCGGTGGCAGCGCTTCGTGAACCGCGACTCCAAACACTACGCCGGCTTCTCCGTTATGGCGGGAGGCCTGCAGTTCGCCAAGGCCGCGAGTTCTCACAAACGCGCCAAAGGCATCGCGTATCTGACCAAGAGAACGGCCGAGAAGCTCCCGAAGCTCATGGTTTATCCCTTGGTGCTGGGCGTCACGGGGGCTGAGCTTCTGGTGTGGGGGACGTCGTACCTTAACGACGGTAAAGACGAAGAAACGAGTAAAGTCGCGCGCGACGCGAAGTTGGCTCCAGCGGCCTTCGCGGTGTACGGCACTACGCTCAACTCCGTGTACCCGCTGGTCGGTCGTTGGCGTCGAGTGCGGGGGTGGCTCCGCCCTATAAAGTGGGGAGCGATCGGCCTGGGCATCGACTACGCCGTGGCGAAACTCACAGCGGAACGGGAGAAGACACAGACACAGACGCCTGCACTGGTGGAGGTCGAGAAGGAGTAGACACGTGTGAATACCGGTAGAAACGTTGGGCTTAAGGTTCTCATTTGCGTGGAGTATTAAGGTTTGTATTAACACTCATGTAGTAAATAATCGGTGACAATAGCTTGAAACAACACATTCGGCCCTAGACGGTATTCATATTTGAGCTGTAATAGACTAGCCGAGTGCCGCCGCTACGCGGCGGGAAAGAATGAATGTCGTTCCTTGTATTTTGCCTCCGTTCCGCTCGCCACGGGCTCGCTTCACTACTCGCACGGTAGGTTGGCAGATTTGGCTCAGGCGGGCCCAAAGGCCCGCAGGGTGCCGATTTGGGCCGCCTCGCTGCGCTCGGCAGCTTTTAGGCCAATCGGGGCCACCTTCGCTGCGCTCGGCAGCCAGTAGGAATATGTAAATTATTTTATCCAATGATTTGTCCGGAAAAGCGTGACAGGCACGACAATTTAGTGTGACGGACAGACAGGTTGCTGCAGTAGATGTTTAAGATTACTTCGAAGCACCCCGAGGCAGTAGAACTTGTCTTTTCTGGTAGTTTTTACTACGTAGAATATACTCTCCATATAGCGATTGAGTCTACCTCATCGTCAAATATAGTAATGCTCTCGCTTCGTATGTTACATGTACAGTAATTAAAACGAAGTATTATTATAAATCCACGTGAGGAAAACGGATGACTCCGCGTGCATGATTACACCGAGTACATTGAAGTCATGAGTTATTAACAACTGAGCGCCAAAGATGACACCTGAGTCTCTGCAAACAGTGTGCATTTTCAAATTCCGGGGGAGAGTGTTTGCAGCCCAAAACAAATTAAAAGACATTTATTTGTTAAGCCAACGACATTAATTTTACTATTTCCAGTAATCCGACTTTAAAAAACTATGCTAATCCGTTCTTACGTGGTTTTTCATCAGCAACCAAGAAGGTCTGTACATGTACAGCACGTTTACAGTACCGGTAAGCATGTTACAATGCAACATGTTTACTGCACTGTTTACAATTACCATGGTGTTCATAATCTTGTTCAGTCGACCGTCGAGTCGACGGGTATTTGTCGCAATATCGCAAGTGGAGTCGTATTTACGCCTCCATTTCTTCTTTCGCAGATAAATGGTGAGGCGGGGCTTCGAAATATTGGTGATCGGTATAGCCTTCATGGCTACCTTGACGGCCGGTGCCCACGAAGAGCGAGGGATACTGGGACCTCGGGCACCTGAGCGAAATGGCGGAGAAGCAGAAAATGCATTCACTCTCGAAGAAACTGGAGCATCGGTCTTGGCTTGCGGCAGGAGAATCTCCACAGACTTTGTTCAAGAAAAATGGCTGGGCAGGGAAAACTCTTGCACAACTGAAGGAGGACCCAAAGTACCTCCGTTACCAGGGGTTTGACGATCTTTGGATTAAAGGGCGATACAAGAAGGGGACGCTGTATACACCTGACAAGTGGCAACAGCTCGTCCGAGCTGCAAAAAATAAATGAACGGCCTTTGACGGTTAAATTCGCAATGACGGTAACATGTTTGATTTATTTGGTCTCATAAAGTCGAAGCTAAGATCAATCTTATTAGTGATACTAATGATCCATCTGGTACTCGGCGAAGTCGACCCAGTCTTCGTCTTCTTCCTCGGCGGCTTCATCACCAACTTCGTAGTTGAGACCAGTACGTTCATTGTGCACCAGCCCTTCTTGACCAGGTATATCTTCAATACACAACTCATCGTCCAGGACTTCTCGCACTTGCTCTCCTTCACCGATGTTGGTTTTTGGGATTTCACCCAAGATCAAGAGATCACCCGTGTTTGTGGGGAAAACAGCGAGTCCATTCGTGTCGACTGGATAGATCCACACGTCACCTTTGTCAAGCAGTTGTCTCCCCCACAGCTCGGCTTGCACCTTGCTCGAAAAGACCGATAGAAACGGAGTCCAATCGCGGTTGCACCAGTCGACATGCTGGCTCTTGGCACGCTGGAAATCGTTGTCCGTTTCTAAACACGCGTTTGCCATGCGAGCGCGTACAAGGGCATCTCGGTTCCCACTGTGACCGACGCGCCATACAAGAGCTGGAGGGTGGGGAAGCATGTTGCGTTCGATTACGTCAAAGTGAGGGTCCATCGTGTCTTAGAAGAGCAAATTGTTGAATGAGCATTTGCTGGCTTCGCATAGAAGTCTAGGATCGTATAAATTCTGGACGCATTTGCTCGAGAACTGTCACATTTGGAGTCCAACAACGCTACCTAAATAGGGGAACGTTTTTTGAGTACTTGAAACGAAAATCTAGCAAACGACTTCGGTCACCATTGCTGAAAGGTGCCAGCGTGAAGGCGAGCATCGTTTACTTCAAAGTACACGTTTTGATCACCAATCAGATCTCTAACCTAGAAGGTATTTTCAAGAAAAAAATGGCGAGGCACTACAAACAGAAATAGACGATATCGCAGCTAATTTCTTGGTGGGTAGAGAAACTTTCTAAAGATGCAACTGTGACACGGCTTGCCACGACAGTAGAGACAGCCGAATGTTCTGCTGTTGGTGTAGGATTCCAAACGGGAGGGGGGGGGGCGCTGCAGAATTACTCTCTGAGTACCAACAAACACAACAGACCCACGTCGGTTCGGTGCTGAAGCTGCTGATTTGATCACAGTATGCCAAATGAAGACTCGTGAACGTAAATTAGAATCCTGTCTGAGATATACTGTACGCCCTCTTAAGGTATGTTGGTTTAGAGAGCAACGTCGAAACAAGGGACTTCCCATGCTTTCGTCAAGATCGTTGCCGGGTACATAAGCGACTTCTTCCATCGTCGGGCTCTCGAGCTCAAAAGTTGCACCGGAATGGTTTAGTCAACTCGAGATGGGTCACCGTTGATGACACCAGCACATTTCGGCTCACCTGCTACTATCACTCCTATTCTTACCTCTCAAGGCTCAACATGCGACCAACATCCATCGTATTGTCACTTGCTATGCTTTCTACCAAGAGCACAGCAGCCCAAGTGTGTTCAACGGCGGTTAACACGCTATCAACAGCATGCGGTTACGATGTCTGCGGAGCTTACGAGCCGTGTTTGGCGTACAATATCACAGACTGCAGCTCGACTGGCTCAACTGGCTCTTCCAGCTGCACAACCATCGGTGACGATATGTGTACGTACTAATGTTTCCAAGCTTTCGGCGCTTACAACTCGGACCCGACTCAGTTCGTCTTCATAGTCTCATACCATGAGCACAACGACAGGGATGGGATCTACGCTACTGCAAACAACCAAATGGTTGTAGCCATTGACCAACTGACGCTGTCACCTCAGACAACAAGCGTCTGGATTGAGGGAGGTGACTATCGACAGATAAATAGAGGGAAGGTGGTAGAGCTGGAACTTGCAGACAATCTGCTAACGTCACAGTCTCAAGTGACGTCTGTGAGTTTAGTGACGATGGATCTATCCTCCAGAATCTACGACATGCCGAAGATGATGCCAAATTCCATCACAGAACTTTCACTCTCCAACTCGCTACTCACGAAATTTCCTGAGTTTCTTTCGTCACTCACGAACTTACTGATTTTGTAAGTATTGCGCTGTAGAACCTAGTGATAAACTGACTTTTGATTTGTTTGCTACTTGTAGACACCTGAACGACAGCTACATCACGTTCGTGCACTCGTCTGTTTATTGGGAGAAACTGACTGTCATGTACGTGCTTTTGTGCTTTACACAAATAAATTTAATGATTAAATGTTTTTTTTTCTGAATGTGGCAGGGACCTACAACGAAACAGTTTCACTACGTTTGAAGGCAACTTCCCAGGGCTAACCCTTCCGTTAGTCTCCCATGTACTGCTGAACCCATTTCTCTAACTAAGTTCTTATAATGTATAGATACCTGAATGACAACAACTTAACGGAGATCCCTGAAATCGTCTTCACATTCCAACATCTCACCAATTTCCGTATCCATAACAATTCCTTACTCACTCGATCATTCACCGAAGCGCAGATCACTTTCCTCCAACGTCTCGACGGCTTGGATCTAGCAGAAAGCGACTTCCAAAGCGCAGCTGACTGCAGTCTCTCGGAGCAGCGAGTAACCGGAGATAGGAACGTCGTAGTGTGTGTTAGCAACCCCAGCACAACTCAAGCCTCCTCACCTTCCTCGGCCTCTACAGAATCGTCGGATTCTTCAGCTCCCAGTGTCCCGATCGCTGGAGTTTCGCACTCTTCCGGTTCGGATGATGACGACTCCAGCACCAGTGTTTCATTACTTGTGAGTATACTAATCGTCGTACTTGTTGCACTCACTGTAACTGCGATATACTATCGGAATCAACGCAAAAAAAGAGACGTCGAGTGGTGTGTACAACCACATGCACAGAGCTTCGAGGAAGCAGCGTCCTATGTCCATCTCCGAAGTGACAACGATCTCCTCGCACTTCAGGATAATCACGACGATATTCACGACATACGCGTCATCGGGATCGTGTGGCTCGTCAGATACCGCAATTCTGTGCTACTCGCCTCCAAACGCTTACGAGAAGATACGGAGCGAGCGCATGCGTTTGATCAGGAGATAAAGTTAGTTATCAGGCTGGATCACCCCACCATTGTGTCGCTAATTGGCGCAGCCTGGACTACTGGATCTGACATACAAGCTCTGTTTGAACTGGTCGAGAATGGCCATCTGAGTTCGTATCTCTCGCCTTCGCTGCCTCGCTATTGGACTCGAGTCAAGCTCCAACTGGCCGTCGATGTTATCGAAGCTTTGGTTTACATTCACGCCTTCACACCACCTCAGGTGCATCGGAACTTGAATTCACACAACGTGTTATTAACTACAGACATGCCAGCCAAGCTTACAGACGTCAGTGCGTTGGGATCTCAGTCGACAAACCGATGGCTGGCACCTGAAGTTATCTCTGGTACCAGTGACTACGAACAAGCAGCGGACATTTTCGCGTTTGGTGTTCTTCTCGCGGGGTTCGACACGCACATGCAGCCGTATGAAGATGCAGCCAGCTCAAACGATAACACCATGGATGTCTTGCAAATGGTGGCAAGCGGCAATCTTCGACCAGTGTTTAGTGACACTTGTCCCCCCATTATCCTGGAGCTGGCAAAGCAGTATATGTCCCAGGAGCCCTGCGATCACCCGCCTGCACTTTAAATCGCTTACACGCTACGGACATTACATCGAGAGGCGTTTAACTTGTAGTAAATCTTTTTTTTTCAAGGCAACAGTATTTATGCTTTTCAGCGATTTTGGCAAAACAATAGTATAAATCGCATTTGGTTTATGGGGATAAAGTCGTACTTTAGAAAGTGCTGCATTTCAAGTAGCTGTACAATCAAATAGGTGTGGATTAAACACAACATTGTCGACAAATTATATTAAAAAGTAGGGACATGGAGCATTTTACACGGCAAAATAGCTGCAAAGCACATTAAATAATTACAAACTATTATGGTACGGCTGCTGCAAATCATCAAGAAAAAGGATCACCTAAGCTGAAAGGTGATCAAATACAGTATGCCTGCATACATGCAGCATAAATGAGATCCGTCAGTTTTGACACCGAGATATAGGCAGCGGACAGCACGCTGAAACCGCTTTCGCAGCTCCAGTCGTGTGTAAGTGCTCATTTCTCCAGCGAATTTGTAGTGGAGAAGTCGTAGCCGACGTACGATGACGACAAGCGAAAAGTACAAGGTGGAAGCTGGCGGTGGCGGTAGCTGGGCGACGGAGTATTACGCTGAACAGCGACGACAGCGCGACCAATAGAACTGGCTGGTTATCTTCAAGCCGTCCGTTTTTGGAGCTGTATTGGCTGTGGTTAGTCGCATTGTGGTGTGGCCACTTGCTCTGCTTATCGTCTTCACATCGACCGGCTACCTATCACACGCCAACGTCCTCAAGCTCGTGGACGAAAGCATCTACGCGTTCACTGAGCAGGATCCAGTGATGGCCGGTGGGTGCACTGGCTGCTTCGGCTTGAATAAAATATGCCTAGTCAAGTACAGTATCTTCGCACAAGACGCCATTATTGGAGCCACCGTGTTTAAGAGCTACGCAGGACGCAAGCCAGACTTGTCGTTGTATGACTTCAGTAGTCTAAGTAAAGAGGCTCTTGAACTTGGAGAGAGGTTGGATGCCAAGGGAGTGTACTGCCAGAGTGGAGTCAATGAGTGGGGTTCCATGAGTGCTGGTATCGCTGGTAGTGCACAAGATGTACTGGACGTTGTCAACGTGTTGGACCTCAACATCGCACCTCAATTCAGACGTGAGCTTGAGATTGCTGTTGCGGGGAAAGCCCCGTGTGAATCAGTCTGGAACATCTACACAATCACGAGACTGTTCTTGTATCCGTCAGTCAAAGGCAGCGCCAACTTCGCCAGTATTCCAGGCATTGACTTTAACGTGTTCCCCGACTACACTGAATGCCGTCCAGACGTCACTGTGGATGATACTCTGGTAGGCTCTAAACTCGCTTTAGCAACCAACGGCGAAGACCTACTCGCTGTGTTTCCTGAAGTTGTTCCCATACAACTTTGAAAGTAGTATTCCTCGTGTGGAACGCTCTGCCCCCGCTGGTACTACAAAATATGGCTTCGAGACAGTCCTCCAACCTCTTTTCAAGGGCTACTACGGTGGCTGTCGTGTTCGTGTAGTGAACACGACGGGTGTCTACGTTGAAGACACGTGCGAAGCATCCAAGCGCTGGTCGTCGTATGGACTTATGATCCACTCTCCGGATGATATTCCAATGTGTAGTACTGGCGATGTGTGTATCCACAACTACTACAACTCGATCTGGGAATGGGTGAGCTACATCGACGTCGAAAACCCTACTCGTATCGGAATGAACCTAAACACTTTCCGAAGTCGATACGGAGATACAGTAGCGCTGAGTGTACTACCTGGTATCGTTGTGATGCAGATGCGAGGATTAGTCTGTACCAAGTCATGTCCCACAAACGGTCGGTATTGCTGACTCAGATTTGGGCCTATCGCTGTCAAAATGGGCGCATGCAAGTGGTTTATCTCGCCCAGATCACGTACCACCTCGTGTACAACTCCGATCTGTACATGCTCGGACTGGCAACAGCATCGAGTCGGTCATGAACCTCACGTGCTGTATCTTCGCCTTCTCGTACGCCTTCGTGAACTTGGCAAAGGCTCGTTCAGGCGATCAGCAACTCGATCGCCACTTCCGGTTAACTTGGGAGACGATGCAGATTGTGATCACGTCGATCGTCGCGGCAGTTCTGCTGTCCTTGCGACAGACTCCGCTGGAGTTCATCAACGCCAACTACGGCGAGATTCTCCGAAAGACTTCGGCGTGTGGAGCCAAGTACTGTGGCCTCAATGACTCGTGTGTCGTGTACAAGACCAACTTGATCGTCTTCATTACGATCTTCTCGATAGGTTTGGGCATCTTTGCGACAGTGTCTTCGCTTATCGTCAAGCGGTTGAGTCCCAAGGTGAAGAGTGCGGTACGCTTAGCCAGAATGTCCTTATCTACTCAGGGCAGCTTTAAACAAACCGCCACTACTGTCTCTAAGCCTAGCGCAGCTGTCGCTCACGCCACAGACGCGCCGATCAAGAAGAAATCGGTCAATGAAGACGGTCTCACGTCCTTCGAGCGGAACTGCATCGGTCGCCCCTTCCGCACACTTTTCCGGGACTGTGACGATATGGCGTACATCATGTACAAGGGCAAGCGATGCACGACTGTCGAGGCGTTGCTGTTGACTGGGTATCTCTATTATGGCGAGCACATCTACCAGGCCTCGTCGGTGATGTTGCTGCTGCTTGCTCGTGCCCTCCCCAGAAAGATGCTGCGTACGTTCAACATGCTACTGCTACGCTGGCATGTGGACAAGGACACTGGCGTCCTCACCCAGGTACTATCCTGTCCATGGTACGCTGCCAGCAAGGAGAACCACGCACTTACAGGCGCTATGCCTGTTGCCTATTTCTAATTGGGTAACCAAGCTGAAGATGGTTATACCTATTTTTAGGGTTAACGACTCATTTTAACAACTCCTCAACGTTTTTACCAAAATAGATTTTGGGAATTGGGACTCATGATCACTGTACCCATTTTATCATTTTACGATGCACGACGGAGGCAACACACTCACGAGTCGAGGCGCGACGACGAGCTCCAAGGACAAGGACTTAGAGGCCGGCGCACCTCGTGTCCGACGCACCTCCGCTTCAGCGCAAGCACGCGGGGATAAGCGACCGGTGTGGCACTACGTGGTCCCTCTTCTGGTAGTGCTGACAGTCCTTTATTCCTTCTCGGGGGCAACGGAAGACAAAAGTCTGGCGAGTGTGGAGAACAAACCCTCTATCAAGGAATGGTCCGTGAAGACGCCAACGGTTAATGCACAAGAGTTAACCGATAAGGGAGATGGGCAAGTACAAGACAAACATTCCTTCTCCAAGGACAAAGGCATCATAATGTGCATGCACAACGGCGCTGTCCCTCTGGGCCTCTCTCTGGTCCGGGAGCTGCGCTGCCTGGGCAACCAAGAGGTCATCCAGATCTACCACTGCTTCCCCGAGGAAATGTCGAATAATTCCCGCAATTTACTGCTCGAAGCGGACAATAACCTCGAAATTGTGGACGTCTGCACGGATCTTGTAGCCAAGGGGAAATTAACCCAAGACCGAGCCCGCCACTTCCGCAGCTGGTGGATTAAACCTCTAGCTATGTATCATACCGATATTAAGGAGGTTCTACTCGTGGATATCGACGATATCTTCCTGCGAGACCCCGCAGTGTTAAGAGCAACCGAGGGATACAAGAAGACAGGCACCACCTTCTTCTATGACCGCGTCTTGTCCAGTAAAGAATTCTTTAACCAAGATGTGGACGGAGAGCAATACCTTAGGAAACTACTTAAGGAGTTTGACTATGCCAAGTACGGCCTACCTATGGGGTCCACACCATCGAAGCATCTAAGCCCCCAAACGTCCTACGCGTGGCGTCGCCAGACGTCGCATGAGCAGGATTCGTCTCTTGTAGCCATCGACAAGTCCCGCGCGGGAAAAGCCCTGGACATCATGCTGTTCCTCATCACAGAGCAACATTTTGTCCATGAATTCTCGTACGGAGACAAGGAAACGTTCTGGCTCTCGTATGAGCTAGCAAAGCAGGAGTATTTCTTCTCCCCCTGGGGGGTCTCAGGCATCTCGTCGTCTACGAACAACGACATGGAGAACCACAACGACACCTTGTGTGGTAGTATCGTACAGTACATGCCCGTAGAAGACGAAACATCGGAAGTTTTGTATGTGAACGGGAAGGCGCTACTCAATCCGTTCCCCGTGTCGATGGACAAATTGGGTACAGCGAGTCACAATGTGCTGTTTAATACAAACCCCACGCACGTCACGACTCGGCAACAGCGGAGAGGTAATGGCCACACCAACACAGGCTACAAGGGAGGATACGCCATGGAGTGTCTCATCGGGTTTGGATCCGAGCAAATGCCGACCAAGTTTGCACCGCAGTTGCTGCGACGGCGCATGTTCTACTTTGGTGTTCGTATGGGTGTGCTGTCGGCTCTTGATCAGTGCTTCCCCTTTGACGGAATGAAATAGTCAAGAGTTCAGCTCATTTTAGGGGGGGGGGTCTCAATTGTCACACTGGATACAACAATTGAATCCGATCCCTCGTACAACAACCATTTTTTCATACTCGAATTAGGACAACATCGAGCGGTCTTTTTCACTTTTTCATTTATCACTGCTAGAGGAAATTAGCGGTATACTTTATCTCTGTCCCCAGCAATTAATCACAGTGATCCACTATCAGACAGGTTCCACCATATCTGTTAGTTTTCAGCTTTTCGATTAGCTCCAAGTAGTATCGGAAAAAGCGGTTGCTCTTGAGCTGCTCTACCGTAGCCATCGACAACCTCAAAAACTGCTTCACATACTCCTGACCCGTCCCTTATTCTGCCCAAATCTGCACTCTCGCCATTTTTTCCAACTCCGTAGCCTTCTCGACAAAGAATCGAGTAGGTCAGTCGTATCTAAAGCCAAACCCCACGTTACTCATCTTGTCAGCGTCGAATGCAATAGCGTAGCGCTTGTAGCGCTGCAATCTTGAGCTCAGCGACTAGTTGCTAGTTTGTCATCTTTTTTTTACAGTCACCATTTTGTTAAGCCCCAAATCGTTCCACCATTGGTATGTGCTCACGTCACTGTTGAGTCGTTTCCACATCACGTATTCCTCAAATCTTTCGCTGTATCTCTTCTGGATTTGGTAGTTCTTGTGCTTCATTAGTCCAACACCAGTCATACCTAGGTTTTCTTTGACGTCTTCTACAGACTTGCCCCGCTGAACCCACCATTCAATTTTCGTCGATAGAGATTTTTGCTTAAACATCTTGGAGAGAAGAAATGATAGCACATTCGACCTTTCGTCTGCATCAAGCGGGTCTTCTTTTCGGGTGGCTGCGTCTTTCTCGTCCATGGTGCGGATGAGCCGCAGGTACCTTCTCTGGTCTTTCAAGATTAGAGTACTATTATAGTCGCTTCGGTCGCCGCCAGAGCAGTGTTGCAGACTACAAGTGTGGCCACTGTCAAACACAGAATGCGGTGTATATACATTCTACGATGAAGCAACTTTTGAACGGACATGGACAGAATCAGCTACTTTGCTACAAAACGTCATGGAGATGCTGTTTTCACCACAATCACGAACGCCTATCATGTGTGTTTGTGTGTCTTCTGCATGGTAATTACTATGTATTAATAGTGTTTTGTCCACAGTTTAAAAAATGGTATCACCAATCCAGTACACCGGAGCAAATACTAAGTTCGTTTCTAAAAAACACTAACCAGCATATATATAATCCCTCCGTAGGACCAGTTGTCTGCTCCAACACGACCAACAAGTTGTTGCCTTAGGCAGTCGCATTCTGGGCTAGGATGGGTAGAGAGCACGGCTGACAATTTATGCGTATAGATTTTTTTTATGAATAAAGTATTCAATACGCAGTTATCAAAGCCTTGGCGCCGATAGATAGACAATACAGTGTGATTGGTTCATTATAGGCTCCTCATATAGATTTTAGCTCCAGCCGAAGGGCGTTGTATTTGGACACCTTACGACAACTTTACTTTCAAGCTTATTGCGACGTTTCAAATGCTGGATTCGATTATTTGCTCAAGTACCATTTTGATAAAGCACTCCTTTGAGCAGTACGCATGTATAACAGCTTTTATTTCACAAACTTGATGGTTTTTCGGGATGATTCGGTATGTGCTGAAAAACATCCTTTTTAGGATTGTAAGTAAGCCGCACCCTTTAAGAGCCCCGTGTAAGCAATCCGCTCAGCTTCATAATTAGTTTATGGACCTCCACTAATAAGCTAGACGAAAAAAAAGCGATTGAAAAGGCGGTACCGAGTGTGGTCTCTTCGCCGCGGGTCCAGAAGGCACACAATCACGCTGGCATGACGTGGTCGGTATACTAACCGTTTGTGATTTTCAAAAAATGGGTGGGAGCCCAAAATAAGAAACACTGCTGCGAATTGTCTGCTCCAAAAACTACCCTTCTAAGTTAGATCTACAGGACACCATCACTAAAAATATTTTCTTGTCGCTCTGGGGCTTGTGCATGTTGTAGCACTGAGGGCAAACATTAAGTTGATTGATTAGCGGCACCTCTCTCCAATACTTCGAAGTACAATTTAATAATGGCTCAAATATTGACAATATAAATGACTGACCACAATCATGTCAGAATGGCATTGAAGTCTAAATTTGACAAACAAGTCGACATGCATGTGGATAGAGAGGGCACCGACAGCGGTATCATCATACTTAACTATATTTAATATGATGGCATCGCTGTCGCGAGCTTCGTTCAAGGGAGGAGTGCTTCAAGAATAATCTTCGTGCAAGCTTCGCTCGTCAGTTTAAAAGCCATCAGAAATTCTATAAGTACTACAGGTGATGCACTACCATACACTACGAAGATATTTTACTGCCCGTATTCTGCCCTGGCATGAGTTTTTACCAGGATAGATTATCCGGTTAATTCATCAGGTCCGGTTAAACATCCGGGCAACGAAATATTCTTAAACATACTATGTTTTACAGTGAAGCTGGCATTCAACTGAGATTATGCATGAGCTACGTGAAAGTCTTCTCTCAGACCAGGGACGGAACCAACACTAAATTCTGGGGGGGGGCGAAAAAAAACGCGAAAATTTTGGCTTCAACTATCACAGCGCAATCCTTCGCTCTGTCATCCTACTAAACGCGTCAATAATTCCTCCTTTGTCGATGGAATTTATGAGGTCTTGCTCGATGGCGAGAGAAAGCAAATCCGACAGCATATCGTGAGCAAATGTAGTTCTTAGACGTGTTTTTTTCCTCTTTTCATCACCGAAAAAGATTGCTCAGTGCCCGCCGTCGACACGTATAGAACACACACTAGACATACGAGCCTGTAAAGTGTAGGGAAGTGTTCAAGCAGCTACTTAAAGCTTAAGCACTGACGAGGCGCAGGGCAAGTCTGTGATTGAATCTATTTAAAAAGAGCTCTGAAAAAATCTAGGGGGGGGGGGCGTGCCACCCCCATCTTATATGAAGATCCGCCCCTGTTTCAGACTATTAGCAACTATGTGTTGTCTACATCACTCCACTCGTCGTTGCCCTGGTCGCCGTCCCAGTCGATCAAAAAATCATACGTGTCAGCGTACTCGTTAATGTCTTGAGCTAGGTCTTCAGCTGACGCTGCATCACCAGGACTCGCGTCGTCGTCCGACGAAGAATCTTCTTCCCCTCATATTCAACTGACTCTAAAGAGCTGTCGAAGCCACCCCCTCGTCGTATTCGTCCTCAGAATCCGGAGGAGCCTCGAAATTAGATAAGTCTGGTGCCGAAGGAAGCTGAATGCGCGGAGGGCGCTGCTTTTTACGGCGAAGCCCACGTGTTATACTACTCTGTCTTTGCGCAAATCGAGTCGACATCCTAGCAATAGTCGCTACAAAGTGTCGAAGGTTCGGATGGGGCTTAAAAGCTGCATTCATTTCCCTGTTGAATCTTTATAAGGGGTTATTGGTGCGGACTACAACTGTGTTGGCGATATCAAACACATTCCACTCCGTTATGAAGTATCGCTCAAGCCAAGTCTTCCTGAAGTAACCCCAAAAGCTCCTCCACTGTTGATGTGAATACAAACACCCTATAGCTTCACATCGTCGTTTTATTTCCAATTTGACCCAAGCGAATGCCTTTTCGGTTAATTAACCCTGGGTCAATCACCGTTAGAGCGTCGAGAACACCGAGCTCCATTGCGATTGCAGCCTTTTCTTTCGAGATACGCTCGTTCTTCATGTGTCTACCCAGTGCCTGTTTAAAGTGAAGAAAAAAAACACCCCACGCCTTCAGCGTTCGGAAACTGGTGCTGTACCGAAGAAATCAAACTGAACTTAACGTCACAACCTATCTCGCTGGAGTCATCTACCTGCCAGTGCAGCGGTAGATCATGTGAAGAACGGCTTCATACATAGTCTCCGTCTTGAACGTGCATAGCACGAAATAGACAGGTGTGAACACGTTGCGCGCAGGATCATCAACCTTGACAATCAAACACTGATGAAATCCTCTTGGCACATGTTGAAGGAATGATTTGCGCAGAGTTGTTAGGGCAGTACAGAACTGAATGAGGACAAAAGTAGAGAGGATTAGGCGGCCATAGTGAAGAGGAAGTCTTGAATGTAGAAGGAGAAGACGCTTGTGTGGTAGAGTTCGTAAAAGAGGAAGTGGTGATTTAGATAGTCTGGTGTCCTGGAGGGGAGTTATTCTCCACCAACCAGTCCAGTTATATAAGAAATCTCTATATGATATAGCACAATTATATTCCCCTAGATAGTCAGTATCACATCGGAGATGGTTACTTCAACAGCCTCCCACATCGAGGAATGTGTATGATGCTCTATCTGTCAGGTGCACCACAGGTGGCTGTTAATAACAGTCCTGTGCGTACATGAACATTTACAAGAGGTAGATCTTGTTTTGATATTGACATTCTTTTTTCTTTGACTTCTATTGTCAGATTTGTCGTTTTGTTACCAGTTTTGGCAGGGGTTGTACAGATTTCTTGTTTTATTGTTATTTTGGCTACTCAGGAAAACCGTAGAGGATTAAACCTGTTCACCATAGTAGGATGTCGTTGTTAGCGCTTTTGTTGCACGCGTTTTGAAGAAAGCTACTCAAGAAAACCTTTCATTTTGAGGTGTCAAAACCTGTTCGCTGTATTGTTGGCTACTCAGGAAACCTTTGAGGATACACCTGTTCACCGTGTTGATATTTAGATATTTTGTGAAAGTTGTGTTAAACTTTTGTTCATTAAACTGCCAGTTTTGTGCTCTTTAGTTTGTGGATATTTCTTCACACTTTGAAATTTCGTATTTGCTGTTTGTTATTATTGTGATTGCTTTTACTTTTGTGTGGAGAGTTTATAGTTTTCAAATATTTTTAAAGAAAGGCTACAGCTTTCAAAGCATAAAAACATCTAACAGTGTCATTGGTAGTGTACATGTACGCATCTTGTTTGCAGGCTCTCATCGTTGGGGCTATTT